AACCTGTTGCTATCGAAGAGGTTCGCGATCAAGATATGCCAGCTGCAGATCAATCCCAGTCTGCTGAGATGACTGGGGCACTTCCCGTCCAAGAACCAGCAAATGGTACTCCAAAAGCCGATCCAGCACCAGTTACTGCCGAGCCTGATAAATCAGAAGCAAATACTGGAGAGAAACGCAAGCCAAGTGAATCCGAAGTATCTAATGGCGATGCTACGCAGGAGGAGTCTCCGGAAGACCCGCCGGCCGAGAAGAAGCAAAAGACTAACGGAGCTCATACTAACGGCACGGCCAAGAAGGTTGGTCGACCAAAGAAAGAATCAAAGAAAGATAAAAAAGCGCCACTCCCCGTTGGCAGGACGGCAAGAAAGACTAGAAGCCAGGGAGCTGCGGATCAAATCGTCTAAACTAAAAATGATCAATGAATTTGGTTCGTTCTTACCCTTTCCTATGCATCGATTCGATTATCTTGTAAGACTGGACTGGGAATATTGGAGGCGCCGGTGGGAGTTACTATCCACGGGCTTGTGAGGCGTAATGTTTTACGTTCATCCTATTCTGTACATATTGATACTTGAATGATCAAAGAATAGGGGTTAATTCGCTTTTTTGCCGTCGTATACATGGAAGGAAAAACAGAGGCCTGTGCGGTGGGAATGTGTGTGGCGCGACTCAAATAACGTAGTGTTAGCTAGTATCCTAGAGGGTGACTCAAAGTAGGCATTCTATAAAAATGATTAATATGGAATCGTAAAATAAATCTTGCATAGAAGATAAGCAACCGAAATATACGGCTCTGGCACGACATGCTTATTCCGTCATGATTAGATGGAGAGGGGGTGAAGCCAGGTTAACTTCTGTCAGGATTCTAGATGAGACGTCTAGAACAAAGAACAGGATATATAACCGTAGGCTCCCGAAGTTGGTTTAGAGTTCCTAGCGGGACGGAGTTGTTTCCTAGTTTCTTGGTTTTGCCTTCCCTTTCAGCATGCTCTAAGTCTATAACTATAAGCAGGTATCTGATTTAATCGATATTTCCCCAAGACCGCATATTGGTTAATAATATACCGTATTCAATCATATCTGCCCGGCTGACAGAAGTCCAGACCAAACTAGTAGGCCTACTACTTAGGGACAATGCCTGTTATTAATTACTCGGGTACATGGACATTGGTGTTTCAACTTCAGATGGTTCTACCGCCGTTTGATCACCGTCACATTGTTATAATGAAGCTATACGGAGTTTATGATACGAGACTGATGAGATAGGATGCCTCCCAAAACCTATACGGTGTATCAATGTACGGACTTTCCATTTGTACCTCTTATAATAGGATGAAAATCGTCGTGCTTCTTATAAATTATGCCTCTCTTCTAGGATATTGGGTTTCTAATCTATCACTCTACGCCTAGTTATAGGAGAGCTTACCTAGAACGTTTGATAAGACTGTCAGGGTATGTGGGTTAGGGGTAGATGCAGGAGCAGATCTACTACATGTGTAAGAGGCGCGTAGCGCCCTCGCAAGAAGGTATAAGGTAGTCCAATCTATCTATCCCGATATTCGCTCTATGTATGACCTCAATCAAGGGTACAATGCCTGACACAGTGACAAAGTGTCAGGGTATAAGTGGGTTAGGGGTATCTACAGGGGTCTATCTACTATATAAGGGGCGCACAGCGCCCTCGAAAGAGGATAGAAGGCCAGGCGTTACTAGATCAATACAATATATTACTTGGTCTACCTACCCTAGACACTCACTCTGTGTATGACATCACTCAACGGGTATCTCTGACACAAAGACCGTGCTCAAGCGTACTTGTTACTGATTACATATTAATTATTATCTTTTATTTGGTTCTTTGAACGGGCGATATACTGCTCAAAGCCCCGAATCATGGTTGAAATGCAGTCTATAAGAGGTATATCCGAGTAACTTAGGTCCCTTTGCACATTGAGGAAGTATCAAAAAGGCAAAGGCCGCCTCGCAAGCCTATGGATTGTGGAAAGCATTATGCAACATTCTTCCAAGAAGCCTTCTTTAACTAGATACGACTAAACTGGTGGCTTTTGATATAAACTTTGGTAAAGTTTCCTACGGGGTATCGTAGAGGAGGTGCCTTAGTCTTGGTCTTCTCCCTACCGAAGACTGTCTTGTAAGGCATTGGTCAGCCCTACTTGTGTAAGTGCAACTCGACACTGGAGCTTAATTTTCCGTAAGTCAATTTTAATAATATATCGAACGTGTATTGGGCGCCATAGCTATCAAGTTGTACCTCATCGCGCTTGGGTAATATTACTAGTTAAGGTTCTCCAAGGCTCTTGGTGTATGCTGACTTGAGTATTTGGAAATGAATAACTAGCCACTAGGAACAGCAAGTTTCATTTCTAGTCTAAGCGCCCAAAAATCAACCGTGAAGGAAACCAAAGGTCAGATTTAGAGCGAAGCAATTTATGAGAAAGTATGAGGAATATACGCGAGGGACTTCTTATAATGTAGGTTAAACACTTTAAAGGCTTGATATTTCGCTCGGCTATTGCGGCTCATTTCTGGGATGGGAAGACTCTTTAGCGTAGGAACGACCAATTCATAATTCGGTACACGTTTATATCATCGATCAGGCGCCACCCTTCCCACGAGTGGTTAGTTATTGGTACTGATGTCTTTCGTCACGTGGGGTCGCCCACATGAACGCGGGAGATATTGAGATATCCGTATATATATTTATGAATGCATCGTTATGTTGAGCTACGCAAAAGACTTTGCCGTGGTACCGTCTTGCGGTACGGCTGGATATCCGAAGCGTGGCAGCACTAAGCCGGCCGAGCGTATCTCTTACCGACTAAATGCTGTACATACGTACATGTGTGTACGTGTAATGGGTGATTTCTCAAATACTCTGTTGGCTGTTGTTTAGTAGTTTAGGAGTCTCGAAAGCTTAGGTAGATTTACACGTTGCCAAGGATGAGGTTCTTAGACAGTGGATTATATGTAAGCCCCAATTCCCGAGACCCTGGTTCGGGGGATCAGCAGTGACCCTTACTATGTATGTATGTACCTACGTTACGGATACTGGACCTTGTATCTTCTACATAGTATGTACATACATACATAGGTAGGCACTATGGTAATAGGCGGTTGACAAATTCGGATCGAAGGCTACATATGTATAGGTACGTTGAATGTATAATGGTTGGTTCATTTCGGGTATTGGCGGTATATCAAGCGATTTATTTTTATACATACGCACGCGTCTGTAAGCGCGTGATATATGAGACAGACTGACAGAATGACCTGCGCGTAAGGCCATTTAAAGACAATGTTGAGGCCAACAATGTCTTGCATACATACCTCTGGCGGTCGAGCTCGTATTCTAGAATAGCCCCACCGAGATACCCCCCGGATCTTACGGTCTCATTGGCTATGCGACAGCGTTAGCCCCTAGGGATGGACCAGTCAAAAATAGAAGTTGTGAGTGGGGATTAAGTGGTTTTGGTATGCGATTGGACACAAATGTCTCTCATTTGAAGCCTTTTCAAGGGTACATGGTACATAGGTACGTAGGTAGTAATGAGATGGCAGGATGACCTAGTCTCGATATTTTGTACTTGCACGGACTTATGTACATGTTTGATGTTTGGGAATTATGCAGTTATTAGGTATTGGTACGCGGATACCTATTTGGAAATGCTCTTGTTCGTGAAAGTTGGAAATTCTTGTATTGTACGACGTACATATGATTGCAAGCGAGGGATCATCTGTACATAGGTACATAATGTAGTAGCTTGATAGGTATGTATGTAGAAGCAAGGAGACATGACCTATGTCGGAAGTAGACGTGCATATAATAGGCTATTAATTGCAGGAACAGAAACTTAGCTGTAGCCTTCCACTCTTCCAGTCTGGAGTATTTCATAAACGCTTATTTCGTAGTAACTCGTTAAGCGAGCTAGAGCGGGTTAGTGCATGTACTATGCAGTGAAGGTAGCTCGACGTGTCCCAGCCGGCAATGCGGCTTTTCGTCATTCCATCGAGGTAAGTATCCCCTGGGTTTAGAAGGGTTAGAAGGGATCCTGACTCAAGTTATTAACCTAGGTTAGTGCAGTCAGTATTCCTGAAATTTCCAAAACTTCTCAAATAACATGAGGCATTCATTTTCTTCATTGTATATGACGATACCTTCTTTTCTACATACAAGCATACCGGGTCTTGTCCAAACCCAGGTACATAAATTACCTAGTTACATAGGTACATACCTACATGTTTAGGTACCTTATGTAAATAGGTACATACCTATCTACATTGACCTATTATTCCTGCTCCTGTCGTTATCCCCACGCCGCTATCAGATCTTGATAGGCGCAATCTTGGCTCTCCTCCATCTTCTCTTCCCTACCAACAACACCAACTACGTACCTCCATCTACGATACCTCGAGCCCACCTACGTAATATAGGATATTTCTTTCTCCTTTCGCTCGTGCTACTTGTTCGACTCTCGAATTATTCCTGCGGTCGCGTCGCTCGTTTGCAGCCGCTTTGTGCATTTCGACCTAAGTAGTATCTCGACTACAACGAACGCCTTTGTTAGAGAATAAGAGAATAAGTGCTTGTGTTCTCTTGCCAAGAAAGACTACGAGACACTGGGATACTTTCGCTACCGAGCTGGACGATAGTATATATATATATATATATCACTATAAGATATTGGGCTATCAAATGCTCTATAGACGCCGCGGATGAACCCTATACGAATCTACGAATTTGAATACGCTTTTTAGACAATTGGCTGCTGAAGTTGCCTCTTCAAGCCTCAACCCGAATATTCTTGGAACCCACTTCCGCCACTGGCCACAGAAGGCTACCCAAACAGACTTCCGTAGTAGGATGGATATCTGGGCTCATGCGCGGTTCCTGCTACCCAGGGACGGTCCAAATCCGGTTGATGAGCTGCTAGACTTGCTGCGGAACCCCTTTAAACAGACGGTAATTAGATCAACCTGCTTACCTACGTATCTCGATCGCGGAATAGATAGCTAACTTAACTTCGTCGTAGCTTACAGATGGTGCCATCTGGTCTGCCTTGGGCACATCAGTAGGATTCACACTCTTTATCGCCATCGCTTTCTCGTTCGTTCGACCATATAATTCCGTTGTCTATGCACCGAAGCTGAAACATGCCGACGAAGAGCATGCACCACCTCCGATTGGCAAGGGATTTCTTGCGTGGCTCCCGCCATTATGGAAGACGAGTGAGAAAGATATGATATCCCATGCCGGCATGGACGCCGCCATATTTATAAGATTCACAACCATGTGCCGCAATATCTTTCTCGTGCTTGGTGTCGTCGGATGTGGAATTCTCCTCCCCATCTTCTACACTCTTAATAGCGACAAGACAGGCAGCCAGAAATGGTTCATGAGATTGACACCTTCCAATGTCAGCGATCAACCTGTCTGGGCAATTGTGGTAACAAGTTATATATTTAACTTCGTCATCATCGGGTTTCTGTGGTGGAACTATAGGGAAGTTCTGAAGCTCAGACGAGTGTATTTTGAGACCAAAGAGTACCAGCAAAGTTTATCCGCCCGGACCCTAATGGTAAGTCCTCGTTTCCCGTATATTGTTTGTAGTAAAACTTACCAGGAGTAGTTGAATGATATTCCCCGGAAATATGCCAGCGATGAAGGTATTGCGAGAATTATCGACGATGTTATTCCACATGCTTCATTTGCTAGGACAGCCGCTGCTCGCAACGTTAGGGACTTGCCCAATCTGATCCAGCAGCACGACCATACCGTTCGAAAGCTCGAAAAAGTGTTGGCCATATATCTCAAAGACCCCCAAAACTTGCCGGCTGCTCGGCCAGTATGCTATCCTTCCAAGAAGGACCCATCATACAGCACTTATCCGAAAGGACAGAAGGTTGATGCTATTGAATACCTCACCCAGCGAATAAGGGAACTTGAAATAGAAGTGAAAGAGGCCCGAGCCAATATTGATAAACGCAGTAGTTTATCATACGGTTTTGCCAGTTACGACGACATTTCCGAAGCCCACAGTATCGCATATGCCCTGCGCAAGAAGAAGCCTCAAGGTGCTACCGTCGTCTTAGCTCCGAGACCAAACGACATCATATGGGATAACATGCCCCTTACCCCGGCGACGCGAAGTTGGAGAAGGATTATGATCAACTTTTGGATTGCCATACTGACGATGATCTGGATTGCGCCTAGTGCTATGATTGCTATTTTCTTAGTCAATCTGAGTAACTTAGGCTTGGTTTGGCCTGCCTTTCAGAAACAGTTATCCGGCAATACTGGGTTCTGGTCCATTGTTCAAGGTGTGGCGTCTCCAGCCATTTTATCTCTGGTCTACCTAGTGCTTCCTATTATCTTCCGTCGACTTGCAATTAGAGCTGGTGATCGCACGAAGACCGGACGCGAGCGCCATGTCGTTGCTAAGTTATACGCTTTCTTCGTCTTCAACAACCTAATCGTCTTCTGTCTTTTTAGCACTATCTGGAATTTGGTTTCGTCTGTTGCTAGCGACCCGCAGAAGGCTTGGGATACGCTATCAAATTTTGGCATAACCCTCTTTATCTCGTTGTGTGATATCTCATCATTCTGGGTTACCTGGCTATTGCAGAGGAACTTGGGTGCTGCCATCGATTTAGCCCAGCTGTGGACCTTCATCTACAGCTTCTTCATGCGCAAATTCTCGAGTCCCACGCCGAGGGAGATGATCGAATTAACGGCACCTCCGTCCTTCGATTATGCCAGCTACTACAACTACTTTTTGTTCTACTCCACCGTCGCTTTAGGATTTGGCTGCCTCCAGCCCCTTGTTCTTCCGGCTGCAGCATTATACTTCTCTATCGATGTATGGTTGAAGAAGTACCTGTTGCTTTACATCTTTGTGACGAAGACAGAGTCTGGCGGGATGTTCTGGCGAGTCCTATTCAATCGCTTCGTCTTTGGCACCATACTTTCCAATATGGTGGTCTTCCTAACAGCTTGGGTGCATGGTGACGGACTCCACACGATGGCCTTTGCAGCCATTCCTTTACCGTTTATTATGGTAATCTTCAAACTGTACTGTTCTCGAACATTCGATGCCAAGATCCTTTTCTATTCGACTCGCAACATCCAAAAACATCCTGAAGGGACTCTGCAGAAGGAACCATTACGCTCAGCTGGACTCGCTCATCGCTTTGGTCATCCCGCTCTTTACAAGCCTCTCATCACACCAATGGTACACGCAAAGGCTCAGAATATTCTAGCTTCCATATACAAAGGGCGTCTAACGGATGGCCGCGAAGCTTACTCTGGAGATACGATGTCTACATCTGGCTATTCAGATGCTTACATCCTGAATCCAATGAATGCTGGTAAACCTGGGAAAATGGCGGGCATACCGGGATTTGAAATAGTGCCAGAATCAAGGCTTGACTTCGAGTATTACAAGACACGTTCCGAATTTGCAGCCGACCATGGTGGCGGCGATATCTTTGGTCGTTCCAATGATGTTATCCGCCCCGGGACGCCAGGTAGCTTATGGAATGGGAGCGAGCCAATGTCTAGATCGGGAAGTCCGACGATTCCAAGCATTCACAGCCCAGGATTAATGAGCAGAGCGTATTCACCTAGTTCTGACGCAGGGATGACTTATCCAAGCGGATACAACCAACCCTTAGGCAACCCTTACGCCCCTGAACCTACTATCAGTCGATCGCGCAGCCCATTGTATGCGCATACAAACGAGAGTGGATCCAACCTGGTAGGAAATGCTGCAGCGATGCCAATGGCTGCTCCTGCCAGGGCACCAGGTGGTGTAGGAATGTTAGGCGGCGGCCCGCGGGGTTACGGTGGTCTGCCTCAGGAAGAGGACCTCGGGCCGCCCGAACAGGATCCTATGCAATATAATTATTTCCGAGAAGCAAGGACTTCACGCAGGTATTAGGGGTAATTAATTTCCGATGAGAACGACTGTACATATAACTCGGCGCAAGAAAAAGCGGGTTTGGATATAGAGGCTTTCGGCGACTCAGGTGCGGCGTTTCTGGCTGAAGAAAGTTAGCCACGGTGACGTCGACCCACGATGACTTTTCTAATATTAAGTTATAGGCTATAATAGAAAGAGATGCACGATAACGACTTGATCTTTTTGGATAGATGGGACTCGGGCCTCATTTATAGCGGCTAACTTGGCTTATAATATGCAAGCAGGGAGAGTAGCCGACGTGCCCTAAGGGCCGTCTTAAATATTATACTAATATTATATAAATACTAACGTAAATGTCTTTTCGGATTACAGTGGAGTTGGTTGAGAATGTAAATACGAGACAGAATTTGTGGCTAAGTCGTGTGTAGGCTGATAGGCATCTACCTAGGTAGTTTTTCTACTTACATATGCAGTCTTCCGATCTTGCCAATACTCGTCTACTGCTCACTATTAGATGGCACGCATACCTTCGAACGTTGCCTTATGCTGTGTTCCATTGGTTAGGTACCTGTCATATGGATAGACCTAGGTTAGGGAACTGACCTATCTTAGGATTCAAAGTCGGCATTATCTTGAATATCACATTGCGATATCCAATTAATAGCCCATCGCCTTCGCAATGTTACACGACGTTCTGCAGGTTTTAGGTAGTTAGTTCAATTGTCGACAACACCCACGGCTTGCTACAGAACCCCGCAGCAGCCAGAGCCTTGCGTACAAACGAGGTCTCCCACCTCACTCTTCAATATCAAAATACTACTCCATCCTTTAAGTGCTCTTCAAATTCTCTCAGGTGATTGTTTATTTTTAGATGAAAATATCTTATCCAAGTATTGAAAATGGCAAGCGTTCCATACGAAATGTAAGACTGGCACAGATTAAGGGGGTCAATCCTATCATAGAAGCCAACTTGCAATATTAACTTACAGTATTCTTTAGTATTGCCGCTTCGAAGCCGTTCCGCTTCCTCGTTGGCCCGGACGAGAAAGAATTCTTTATGCATTCCGAGCTGGTCGCGCGGATGTCTAAGCCCCTGTGGACTTTGGTCAACGGCGAATGGAAGGAAGGCAATGAGAGATACACGGAATGGCCCGACATCGACGAGGGAACGTTTGTCCGGTTCTGCGAGTTTGCGTACACGGGGAATTATAAGGCTGCAGAACCGTTCGAAGATACGCCCACGCCACTGAACGAGAAAGAGAGTACGCTATTAAAACCTAACTAACCTACCTGATATATATATATGCTCACAATGATAGGCGGCGAAGCTACATCTCCCACGCCGAGACTAGTGCCCAACAGGAAACAAATATTTAAAAAAGCCGAGCTCGTCATGAAAGAACCACTGCTAGTGCCCAACAGGAGACAAATGTTTAAAAAAGCCGAGCTCGTCATGAAAGAACCACTGCCACTGCCGTCAAAGAAGGACATCATATGGCGTGAGTTTCAGGGGGAAATTAATGATGGGCCGGATGGGAGAGTGGAGGAAACTTCAAATACAGTCCCCTCGGCAAACTACTCCGAGGTTCTCCTCTCACACGCACGTCTGTACGCCTTTGCAGATTGCTACGATATCGATACGCTCATGGAGCTCAGCATTCGCAAATTACACCGGACACTAAAAGTGTTCAACCTCCACAAGGGAGCGAGAGTGACCGACATAGCCCAGCTCATCGACTACTCATACAGGAACACGGTGAATAAAGGGGACAACCATGACAAGCTGAGGAACCTACTTGCGACCTATACGGCATGTAATATCGAGGAGATGTGGCCGAACGTCTATTTCCAGGATATTCTAGAGTCGGCTGATGTTTCGAAGGCTATCATCGGAAAGCTACTCAAGAGGTTAAGTTAGTCACACTCAAGGTAGGAGGTTTATGGATCGGTAATGCTTATACCGGGTCACTCACTATTCAATACCATCATGAGCAGTGATCGAAAAGGTAGATAGGAGGAATTGATACATAGCCTTCATGAACACTTTCAAGGTACTGAACTTAGTAAAGCTCCGTGAAAATGTAGGATATGTATATCATGTAGTATCTTTACTATTATCATTAATATTAAACAACATCTAAAGGCGTTGCTACCCCTATTAGCATTATCATGTATCCTCCAATATCCCAATCAATATATTCCCGAACTATAATATCTCATCATTCGAGTACCTGGCTGTCGCCAAGCTAAGCCGGTTGACCTTCCATAGCCATAGTTGGGCCACTTTCAATCGTGTAGCGGTAAATCACGTTTCAAAGTGTTGTCGCCCGCGTTCCGTCCTTTGGAGGCTTAATTCCTCCGTTAACAAAGATGTCACAAGACCAAGGCCAGAGAAACCGAGCATTGCGTAGAATACGCCGCGCATGGCCGACAAATACGCTTGTAAGACGGGTGCTATGACCTCTAACGGAAGATTTACGGTTCGCATTATTGGGATAAAAGCGACGGCATTGTGTGGATCCCTGAGGAGACTAAGGGAGTCAGGCAATTCTCCAACCGTAGCGATCGCGGACCCAAAAGTGCTACTGAATATTGTCGAACCAATAGCGAGTCCGACTAGACCGCCCAAACATCGGAAGGTCAACAATAGGGCGATCGCATGGCCAGTGTCATCAACGCTTAATACGCTTGCCTGCATAGGAAGATGTAGAAGACGGAGTAGAGCACCGACTCCCGCACCCCAAATGATAGGGATCCCGTATCGCATACCAACCGATGAGTACGGGTCTAATAGAATCAACAAACCAGTTCCCAGAGTCACCAAGCCCCAGGATAGCCAGATCCTCCTCTGGTAACCCATTCCGGCCTTCCCAATTCCGATTACTGAAGCAATAGCACCTAGGACACTGATGACACTAGTAGGAAGTAACGATACCGCGGCTCCGATTCGTGTGTCAAGCATAACGGCTTGGTAGGACAACGGGATATATTGTAGAAGTGTGTATAATGCCATACCGTGGATAAAAGCGCCACATAAGGTAACCGCCGCGGTTCGGGAGCGGAAGATTCGGAGTGGGATAACCGGGGCCTCGGGTTTCGTTTCGTAAAACACAAATAGTGCTATGACGGCGACACCTAGGAGCAAGGGAACGAGTGTTTGATAAGAATCCCATGGGTACAAGGCATCAGCCCAGCTCAAAGGGAGCACGAACACGGTGCATCCTATCGTAAGCAGCAACATACCGTTCCAATCTAAACGCTTCAGCTTAGCATCGAACGACGAACCGAGTGACCGAAGACGAAGAAAGAAGGCTAGTAGGGGAAAAGAGACGCCCAAAAGCGGTAGGTTGATCCAACCAATCCACCGCCACGTAACGTAGTCGCTAAAAAGCGCGCCGACAGTTGGCCCAAGGATACTGCCAATAGCGATGGGCAAGGCCATAATTCCAAGGTACAGAGGCCGCTCTTTCAGGGTGGTCATGTCGGAAACTATGATCTCGCCAAGGACATCAAGACCGCCGCCACCCAAACCTTGGACGACCCTGCCAGCGATGACGGCAGCCATGTTTTGGGCGAGGGAGAATGAGAGAGAACCGGCGGTAAAGAGCAGGAAGGCTACGTAAAGCGGGGGTTTCCGGCCAAAGACGTCGGAAATGCTCGCAAATAGGGGCAGACTAACAACGAGGCCGAGATAGTAAGCGATTCCGGCCCAAAAAGATTCCAACGTAGTGCCATGGAGTTCTTGCGCAATACCCTAAGTGATGTCAGTACGGTCACTCCCAACTGAATTATCGTAAAGCTAGTCGAGAAATCGAGTAGAGGGGAGGAAAAAAGGGGTAAACTAAGTACTTACGGGAATAGCCACGGCGAGAGTAGTAGTATCTAGAGAAAATAGAAAGACGAGGATATTGATAGCCAAGAAGGAGAGATAGAACCCCAAGGGCTTCTTCTGCGTGGTGCCATCACTTGCTGCTTCCGCGTCGGCGTCGGCGTCGGCGTCGGTGCTGACCTCAACGGCTTCAGGCTGATCGATTTCAACTAGCTGGTTCTCTGGTTTGTCCGTGCTGGTACCCGAGGTTTTGGGTTCAGTCGTAAAGGACTCCCTCGCGCCGGACTCTGCGCTAATGTGCGTCATGAGTAAATATTATAAAATCCACCAGGTGTTTGCTTGTCTAAGTCAATCCATACGGAAAGAGATATATCGACTGCCAAAGATTAAATTCTCACGATCTACAAGTCGCGGAATAGTTAGATATATCAAACCGCGATAGTTGATTATGTCAAGATAAATATCGTTATATAGACACCTACCTAGGTAGGTAGCTTTCCGTTTATGAGAGGCTAACAAAATTATATATAAAAAAATATATATATATAAAAAGGCTGGTGACGGATTTGAATCTCATAGGCGGCCTCTAAATCCCAATCAAACGGGCAGGACGGGCAAAGCGGGAAAGATTTAAGGTTGGTTCGGGTACCTGAATCCACAAATACCCCTTGAAAAAGTAACCTATCATGTCAATTATAAACCTAAAACGGCGGGTTACAATGGGCCTTCAGCCCTATACAGCTGTACAGCTGACGGCGCTACTAGTACCAACGCCTTTAGCGAAATTAGGTAGGTAGTCGGCAGGATTGATCGGTGATCGGGTAGTTATATACTTCCATTCAGGGTCTACCTACATAGACTTTGCGAATCTCGCTTATCAGATCAGGCAATATCTTCATCAACATCTCATTCATGTTTAGTATATTGTAGTAAACTACCCTGGCTGGGGTATTATAGCTTAGGTCAGGTGGTAGGTATTTCAACAACCGTTATTTGGGTGCATACCCCGGTACTAAATAGAATTATATCCCCTTTCGGACAGACTTCTCTAACAGTCCTGGTAGTTTCTTCTACGGATAACTACCTCTTCTTTGGTCGCTGTCATACAGAGAATAGCAATAGGCCTTGAATACATGTAATTGAGATTTAATTATCAAGAAGTACTAAACCCTAGACCGCCCCTAAATCGATATTTGGTCTAAGTTGACCAAGTCTCATCATCTTCTGACGTACTCATCCTCGAGGAGTAGGTGATATCTTCAGTCGAAACATAAATCGAACATTTGCCCGTTATTCCAATCGGGACTCTTTACAAATTTACTAGAAATATAGGCCTTAGCAACAGTTCTAGCCCAAATGATGTATTTATCCTGAGCAAATTTGCTAAGAATAATTCTACTAAGCGATGGCTGCTGTAAAGCTTTCTCAGCTGGTGTTGATAGATTTTCCCGAGGCGAGATAGCCACTATTATTTTATATCGAGTGGTATTATAACAGATAGTTATTGAGTTTGAGCAGGTATAAAAAATAGCTACATGAATATTTCTCGGGGACTATAGAATAGTCACGGAATGTTGCTATTGTGATATCAGTTAAGAGTGAACGAAATATATAAGGCACTGAAGGCTTGCTAATGGGGCGCAGTGATGACCCATTAATACATTCATTGCTTATTACGCATGAATAAAGACTAACTAAAAGGATACGGTATGATCTTTTTAACATCATGGTCTGAGGGGGATGGATGGGAAGGGGGAAAAAGATCTGGAAAAACTATTTGGTTATATGGAAGTAACGAAATCAATTAATAAAACTAAACTTAAACCACTTTCTCGCCTGTATCTTCCTCCTTTCTAGTATGAGTTTAAATCTGGATTTCATGCCTGAGTTACAGGGACTTGGCGGACCCCTGAAATACAAATCATCGACAAAATTCTCAACGACAAGACCAACACTCGATTCTTCTAACTTCTACCACCAAGAATCCAAATGTCGTACCTTGAATAAGCGATTCAATTCATAGTAGTACTCACTTTTTGCGCCCGGGTTAGGTATTCCTGCGGATACGCATCCCATAGCTCCTTAGGTAGTATATTTCTGGTGGCGGCAAAGATGAGTTGTGCCTCTCGAAGAACTTCCCCTTTTCCATGACACCTGCATTCGCGAAGACAAAATCGAGTCGACCTTCGGTCTTGAAAACAGCATGGAATGCGGATGATAGCGAATCCCAGGAGGCGACGTCGACTTGGTGGGAATCGCAGTTATTTAGACCAAGCTCCAAGATATCTTCGCCAATTACAATTAAGTCGACAGCGTGTATTCGCCAACCCTTTTGAGATAAGGATCTAGCAATAGCCAATCCTAAGCCTGATGCACCGCCAGTTATGATAACTTAGGTAGGTAAATACTTTGGAATTCGCCATTACTTACACATGACACCTACGACAGGCAATTGCTTTTAGGATAGTGTGTATACCTAGGTTGATTTTATCAGGTAGATGGGGGTTCCCCGCACCGGCATTTCGTGAGGTTCTGTGCTTTTGTGTGTGCTTACCGCGGCGGCTCTGTTCCTCTGTTCTTCTGCTAAGAGGTGTGTACCTCTATGTGGGAATATCAACGATCGGCGTCTCGAATATAGTAGGATAGAAGAGCCGCATCATGGTTGGGTATTGATACTAAGGTGACGTGTGATATATTCAATGGAGAATAGAGATTGACACGCTTCTAGTGATGACACTTGTCACGAGCAGCAATGCGATAAATGCAATAAAGTAGTCTGCCACGCTCTCAAAAACGCGTGGACATATGATAATACTCTGTGGATATGGTGCTGTCTCTATGACAGTATTGCGGTTCTTACTTGGTGATATTAAAACAAACTATATTCCTTTCGTCCCATATCTTATTTGGAGTTGAAAACGACTTGTTATACACATATAGATCTAGTAGGTGATGATAAGATGATGACGTTTACAAGTTTACGATTCGTGATATGGAAGTTGCTCAGTCTGCTAAATTATCTTCACAAAACTCATAAAAAGGTACATGAGTCCTAAGGTACGTACCAGTACGTATACTAATCAGTTGATCCAATCAAATACCGAGAAGCTGGGCGAGAGGGTCCAGATTGGTGGAAAGTTCAGCTAGACTGCTGCACATGGTTCACCGCCTTCCATTTTAGGTAGTCAAAATCAACGTGGGTCCTCGCCGCGCGAGTCGCGACGCCAATTTTAAGTGCAGCAGAGCTCTCTAGGTAATGATAGCATAACAGCTTCCAATTCTCTTCTAATTCTCTTTCAGTTCTTGCCTTTTTCACTACACACTCTCTCTCCATGTGCTCAGATTGATGTAGACTCTAAGAACCATGGTTAATAAATACTTGTTCTAATACCCTTTTTTCGAGTCTATTGTTTCTTCCTTATTTTGATTTTTTTTTAGTCTGGCGTGAACTACTACATGTCATGCATGTATAAATCACCCGAACGACTATGCTCTTCTCTGTTTGACTTTGACCCTCGTTACTGTCGTTACTCGAGATAATGGATCGCGGTCGACTGAATTCTCCGGGCGTCTTAGCCTCAAAGCCTAACGGATATACAAACGGTTTCAGTCACGGCGACGGTCGCGTTAGCAAGAACGCGACACAGTCCTTCGGTCAACGACGAGTATCGAAAAACACTAGCAAACCCGAGTCAAAAGAGAACAATATTACATCCGACGCCGAGACTAGCACCAGCAGTGGTTCCCGTCATCCGCTATACTCAAGTCCCAAGTATATTCCGAATACTCGCAGATTCAGTCCATCCCCACGTAAAAACTCCGAATCACCGCGCGAGACGCGAATACCTCTCCCCATGGGCACAACACCTTTCACAACCTCGCCCAGCCCCCGAGATAAGCAAGCGAATTCTCAGGGGCAAAACCTCGATATGCGCCAACCCATGAGCTTCAGATCAGCCTTTGCGCTGGCTAAGAAGCAGGAGGTGGATGACCAGCTTGACGACGACGATACCTTTAGCATTAAACACGCCTTTAATATAGCTAGCGCCGAGATGAACGGACGTATAGACGGCTCCCCTAGTCCTGCTCCACGAAAATCTCAACTAAGGCGTCAGTCATATGGCGCACTTCCGCGTAAAACAGCGACAACTAGTCCCAACACTGACCTAGGGCGTCATCTCCAACGGTTTGACCAAAACCACCAACTTAGCACAGGTAACGGGCCACTCAATGGTTTGTTTGGCAAATCTCGAGTAGGGCCCAACGCATCAGAAGCCGGCAACGTCCTCGCTAAGAAAGCAAGCGACGGTAATCTCAGAGGTTCCCCAGCGCGTCGCAGAGAAAGCCAGTGGGAGGCTAGGTTAGGAAAGGAAAATCCTGTTAACGCGGCTGTTCCTATCCCGTCAATCGAGTATGAATTTGCTACCGATGACCGAGCTTCTCCGATCGACGAACTTGTCCCTCGATCACCCGAAAAAAGCTTCAATTGGCATTTAGACGCCGATTTTACGGCCGGAGATCTCCAAGTCTCTGATAGTCCTCGCATCCGGGCTGGTCAGTCTAACGAGCGGCCTACCCTACGATCGCCAAGTGTAACGAGTTCTCCGGTTAGGAGTACACCTGATACGCGTCGCAGCAATACTCGGATCGATCAAATTCGGCAGAAAGAAATTGAGGTTGCGAATGCTGTCTTGCCGGAGGAAGATATATCTTCATCTATGCGAGCAAACAGTCGACTCGACGAAATAAGGGCACGAGAAAGAGAGGCGCTATCTAAACGGGCTATGGCTACGAGTAGGCTTGAAGAAATCCGAATAAGGAATTCTGAAGCGCGTCCAGAATCACCGGAGGCCGGAAGGAAACCCTACAAAGAAGATTTACGCAGGACTTCGCTCCAGTCTGAAGAAGTCACAAAGACGCCAGATGGAAAACCAGGGTCTGGGGCGAAAGAAGATCAAGTTCTAAACACGCCTGTCACCACTTCCCGAAGCCCAAATTACCAGAAATTCAACGAGTTTGCGAAAGACACGGGGAAGGAAAATGAAACCAAGGTGGAAGATGACAGAAAGGGTGTCAGACTCCCACGGAATGATTCACGGGAGTTGCTTCGGCGTCTCGCGCGAGCAACAAGTGCCAGCCCACCTGCTGAAAAGACCGAACAACCTGTCATTCCAGATAATCCTCCACCAAAGGTACCGTCTGAGAGTAGGGAAAACAGTCGCCCACGTCCAACACGAGAGGAGAGGAGATCTAGGAATCTGGATGTTAAGAGCTCCAGAGAAAGACCAACAGTTGGATTCACAGGCTTGCCAAGGGATCCGTCTATTGACTCTATTCGAGAAAAAAAGACTAGTCGTTCCAGTTCCGAAGTAGATCCTACGGACCGCATTGAAGCCGAGATGAAACTGTTCGCACCGCTCGATAATTACTCTGAGAAGGGCTCCGTCCGAGCGCCGTCACCTATTCCGCCAGAGCCAATCGATGAAGAGACACCACGCCCAAGTAAGATTGACCCATTGACACAACCTACCCCGCGCGTCACCGGGGCGTATATTGAAACGCCGGCCACCGTTAGAGTTAAGCAAGAGGAACGCCTAGAGAATAAAAAGGTGTTGGGTGACCCCAATCGACCTTTGAATATGGATTCCGAAGTTCGTGCTAGGAGCTCTAGCGACCCCTCGAACGTTGGCCACATTAAATCTGAGTATGACGATACTCAAGATTTGAGAAAGGCATCGATACCAAGATCTTCTTCGGTTCCCGCGGCTTCTCGTCGCTCTAGATCCGCTTCCAGGCGCCGTCGACCTCGTCGACCTCTAATTAATACTGCTAAACCGCCGTCGGTTAAAGATGACATTCGCGCGATACTACGTATGCATCAGATAGACGATTCCACACTTGAAGATTTTGACACGATTCTTGCCGACCAGGAGATTGATGATGATGAACTCGAGAAAATGGTGAAGGACACCATGAACAAGATTGACGATGATCTTGAATTCCCAGAGCTGTCGGAACGGGATCGTGAGCTTCAGGTTTACGACAGGATGAGCAAGTCGCTGAAGACTGGTCTTCTGGGCATTCGATCCGCGAAGAAAGGGATCGAACGCCTAGAAGATAGGGTTATGCATACCGAGCACAAGAAAGTTTCAGCTCATACCGTTCCAATTGCCCCCATTCCCAAATCCGAAACGACTATATCCGTTCCTAACGCTGCCCCCGTTGTACTCCCTATCCCTGCCCTGTACCGAAAATCCCCTAAATTCAGATTCACGAAGTTGGGCGTGTTAACACTTGTCGTGCTCATATGGTATATTTTCGAGTCAGCTTTCTGTTTCCTATACACGCCTCATTACGACTGCACACCGGAGTTGCCATGTGATTGGTCACCAAACGAGCCATACTTTCCATACGCGATGCCTTTCATGTTAGATGAATGGTCCACAGGCGGAAAAGGAAGAGCGTTGGCATGGAAGATCGGCGAAGAAGTTGGAGATACGGTTGCCGAAGTCTCGGACTGGATTACAAAGACTGATTTTACTCAATTTGACGAGAAATTTATGAATGTCTGGGAGCGAAAGAGACATAGGAGACGACTACGTAAGCATGGCTTGGTTCCAAAATGGGTGGCACCTCCTGATTATCAACCCAAATATGCAGAATGGAATGCTGCGCGGTTGGCCAGGGAGGCTGCTGAAGAAGATGGATATGAAGTAGAAGATGAGACCATGAGCGCAGACGAGAGAATTAGGTGAGACACGGCAACAACAATCACGACAGGCCTTTAGGTCCTAGTGAAGAAGTCATGTTGGCGAACATTGCAGTATATAATTTTGGAACAGCAATGGCCACGCTCATTTGAGTGTTAACCGTGTATAGGGTATCCAGGGTTTATGTAATTTTATTTTGCATTTACAAGTGGTGGACTGTTTATGGGGTGTTTACTGGCTTGGGCGTTGTGCGTTGTGCGTTGTGGTCTCGTCAGAACAAGGACAACAGACAAGGATTACTTGACGCTTGTACCAACTTACTGTACATAATATTAAAATTACGTAGGCTGCGGTCATAATAATGGAAAAGAGATCTCCTGGCGGCTATGAGGTCTAGTGTATTCTTAGAAGCTGCCGGATTCCCGGATTCCTTGCATCCCTGGGGTCCTCGACTTATCCCAACCCGCGATGATCGATTCACTGCTTCCGCCTAGAGCCGCAAGGTTGACTCCAAATATTTACCGGTGTCAATCCATGCCATATGTCATATGAACTAACACCACTTACGCAATCAAGCTTATTATTAAATGGGAAGTGACCAAAATCTAGTCATAAAACTAGAAGTTTTGTCAAGTCGAGGGCCAACTAACGGGAACCCCAATGACGAAATTGATCTTCTAGTCTATGACGATTCAGCACCAACCTCTTAGTTCACGACAGCCCGATTTTGATTGGACAACGAAAACGGACTGAGACAAAGCCAGTAAAATGTTCAGCTTGATCGCTGCTAAAGTCTGATGTCATGACTAGCCGTATTGTTGGTATCGTGTAAGACGGCAAAGCTGAAGCATACTTGCGAAAGCACTGCAAGATATTGGAGTTGCCGTATACTATGGGCCGGTCTCTCCATTGAGCTTGAAAGACGTACTTAAGACTCGTGAACCCTCTCGATTTATTGTAGTTTAAATAAATTAATACCTTTGATATTACAAGACAATTTAAAGACTTCTACTCGTAATAAGATACCCTCCAAGTTAACTATATTCAATACTCGATAGATCGATACCTAACACGACTCGCAAATCGTAATGACTTCCTACACTACTCCCCAAGAATCTGAACCTCATCCACCAGGATCCTTCCCCACAGACGACGTGATTCCTACACAGGATTCCAGCTTAACTTCCTCGAGCTCACACAACAAGCTGCACAAACGAGACGACCCAAGGGGTTGGAGTGAGGAAGAGAAGGCAGCGTGGGGACATCAACACACGGACTCGGGTGTTGGTTTAACAGATCCGACCCTGTCATCAAACCCCCACACTCTTGACCGAGCAAGCGATGGAGCTTTCCACTCGAACAATACCACTCTACAGAACAATGGCGTAGCACCAAGCACTGTTGCTAGTACTACAACGAGGTCGCCTAACTACCAAGGAAACGAGGGTAAACCTGGCGTTATGACTGGCGCCTATGGTCATAACAATGTTGATAGCGGCAACAACTACTATCCTAAGCCAACCACGGAGGATACGTCTTCCCAAAATCAAACCAACGCAAGGGGTGTCGATGCTGTTGGATCCGCACCAGGGATAGCTACCGCTACTAAATCAGGCAATGCAGAACGAGAGCAAATCCCTGAGGATCGTAACACTATTCAGAATGGCTTACGTCAAACTAGCAATGTTGAGCACGATGATCCATATTGGGGCAACATTCCCCACGGTACCGGTGTCTATAACACAGTTACTGGACATGGTAGTTCTGAGACAGCCACCGACGGCTCCCTTCATTCACAGGGCCTTCTAAGCCACGAGCAGCAGCGTGCATTCCCACTTCAAACTTCCAACAATGCTGCCCACGATGAGACTGGCCAGCGCAACGGTTCACGGTTTAAGGAGAGCCTAGGCGAATCCACTACGGGTGCAGCTGCAGGACTCACCACCTATGAACTTGCTGAAAGGCGACGTGACCATCAACATGAGGACGATTTGAAAGAGCCCACCTCCCGCAAGCACCACGAAGCAGATACCAAAAAGGAGAGTAAGTTTGGTAGTTTGTTCCATCGGGATCACAAGGCTGAGAAGGAAACCAAGTCTGAGAAGCTCAATGAACCAGTTCCTAGTAAAGATGACAGACCGTTAAGAGAAAGGGACGCTGGCGTAGCCCTTGCCGCCGCTACTGGAGCATATGGTGCGAAGAATCAGGCCGACAAGCATGACAACAAAGCAAGAGAGTCCGAGCACGATGTAGCAGATAACAAGGCGAACGCACTTTATCAGCATCCTAACGAGAAAATCAACTCGAAGGATCCCTTTATCGCCGCTGGATACACGAAGACTGGCAACCAGGGTTCTACAAAGATTACGAACAATGCTTACCCCCCCTCTGAAGATGTGACCACGAGAGGCAACCCCTATAGCTCTCAGACTACAGAGAAGCCTAACGAACGGAATGATTCGAAACTTGGCTACGGCCTCGCAGCCGCTGGCGTGGGAGCCGGTGCTGGCTATGCTGCCCACGAGCATGCCAACAGAGATAGCGAGAAGAATAAGGTGCATCCCAACCAACAAGCATTCCACGATTCAACGACGGCGTCAAAGGCAATCACGCAACCATTGGACGCAGGTTACACTATCGGCAAGCCTCAACTCGCAGTGTTCCCTGGCACCGGAAAGACCACCGCCCCCTATGAAAATACACAGGGTCTATCCCAGTCAGGCTCCAGCGCTAGCCGCTCCCTCGATGATTCTAGCCGCCACGGCGAGTATAACGTCCTGCAGGGCGGTCCTCCTTCCGGTGCTAACGTCGGAGATCATCATTACGGTGACAAGAAGAACGTGATAGCTTCGTCGTCACCGAATGCTACACGCGACGCCGTGACGAACGATAACCACACTGGTGCTAAGGCGGCGGCTGCTGGTGCTGGTGCTGGTGCTGCTGGTGCCGGCGCTGCTGCTCACTACACTGGCAAACGTAATAGCAACTCTACTAGCAACACTTCATCCGCACCGTATGAGGTCTCCGGCGCCAATGGTCGTGCACCTACGGACTCTACCCACGGCAGCACTTACAAGGCCTCCCCAACCCACACTCCCTCCGGTACGAATGCCGACGACGGCCAACAATATAATAAGCACAATGCCGCCACGCCGTCTCCTACTAGTGCCACACGAGGCACTGTAGATGACAACAACCACAGCCGTGCCAAAGCTGCTACCGGAGCCGCCGGTGTAATCGGCGCTGTAGCCACTGCCAAGCACCACTCCCAGCGCAACACCAACGATCCCACCGCCGTCCCGTCCACCACCACTCGCGACCACCAGTCTTCCACCACTAGCTCCAGCAACCGTGCGTCGAGCGACTCCAGCCACGGCGGACAATACAACGTCCTCCCATCCGGCACGCCTTCAGGCATCAACATCAGCGAGCGCGACGACCTCAGCCGCAAGAGCCTAGACGACACTGCTAGCAAGACCAAGACACCCGCAACCGCAGCTCATCCCACCGCTACGAGTGCGATCCCCGCTTCGAAGAAGGATGTTGCTGGTACGTCGGCGGGTGTCCCTGCCGGTCTAAACCCCGCAGACAAGGTGCTGCATCGGTGCAGGAAGTGCGGCGAGGAGAATGATATCACGGGGTATTTCCGCGCATGAGGCAGGACGGTAATTGTGGGTGAGGGAGAATGATGGATACATACGAATTATGAGATAGTACCGGGACTGAGACTGGGATTAGGGAATGAATTTAATAAGACACCAGTCAAGATTGGAAACTATGGGTATGTGCTTATGAGGTTTGGCTGTAACGAGAATACGAAAGTAATAATATGATATATTAGGATCAACTACAGTTAGTTAATAATACTGTGAAGATGTATCGTTTTTTACAGTAGCGATTTCAAGATGAAATAATTTGTATACCCTGTCTGATATTGGCAACAAAAGACGCATACCGTCGGATTAATGACATTATATAACCAAACCCAGTATACACTTGAACTAAGTAAATGCTACCAAGTCGTGAATACTAGTTCGTCGCTGATCGCTTTATTCCGTATCGAAGTCTGCTTGACCCTGATTGACCACGTATCTATCGTATAGATATAGTATACCGGTGATCTGTTTTTGAGATTCTAACGACGCTATCTCTGATTAAACTGAAATTCGACGATGTTGAATTTGTTAGTCTTAAAGCCAATAACGAGATCCACCCACTGAGAAAAAACCACCCGCGATACTTTAGACTCCACTTGGCGTAGTGGAGTTGCAAAAAAATTACAAAAATGGATGCATGAACGGGGAGTCGAACCCCGAGCTCAACCTAGCATTGGACAATGGAAGGGTTGAATGTTACCGCTACACCATTCATGCTTATAATTACAGTCACATATTCAGCATTATATTACCTGGTCTTCAGATAGTCAAGCTACCACTCAGCATAGCAGAAGAGCATCAATTTCGAGATTGACTTTCAGTTACACTCGTACTCTTTTCTTTCAGGCTTATTATCCAGATAATTTGTTTACTGCTTTCAATATATTTACTAGGAAACTCGCCATGGGATCATCAAAACACGTAGAATAAAGGAGTTGTGTGAATGTGAACTTGGCATTAGTCCTATGTTAGGAGTCAGCTCCTAGATATTTACACGACAAAGTATTTGTCTCCCAGCCATTGCTCGCATTGTAGAAATGTTCAATGCATAGGTGCATATAGATAATGGGTAGAATTGAGATAATATCAAACTGCCATGAGGATCACGAAAAGGTGAGGACATCATAAATCCAAATCGCCAGGGACAACATCGCCGGGGGCGACGGAATTTTAGTCATAATACTCAGCATTGATTTCACTTCTGGTAATATCTTAAGTTCACCTTCTTTCATCGCAGCCTAGTCCAAAAGTCCATCAAACAACACCACAGTGAATGAACAGTGACTTCCATACTCATAGGCTACCCTCAGCCCGTGCCATCTATCACGTCTCCCCCTTTCAGGTATCTCTGTCATAAGAAACCCAAGAGCCTCCCCATTGACGATTCAAGCCATGGATCAAGATCAAGACCAGAAGCCCAACGTGGCGGTCCACCAGGAGGAGGAGTTTCGTGAATGGTCTCCGCCTCTTACTGATTTTGGTTTCAACCTCACCCGCAGCAATCTCCATTGTATCCCGCAAGACCTCCTTGATGTCGGATGCTCAAAGCTCTATATTGAATTCTTGCTGCAGTTTATGGAGCCAGGAACAGAAGGCCCAGACTCCGACAACATAGCGGTTACTACACATACCGTTATGAAGGCCGACTTCGTGACTCCACATGACCAGTACAAAGGCGTTCGAATCGCCATGAACCTAGATAGTCAAGAACACTGTCCAGAATTGGGAGTGTTGGGCGTAAAGTTTCGCACGTACTCTGGAAGAACTACATCGTCGATGCGTACTTTCGTGTTTGCTTTGCATGACTCCGTGAAAGTTGGTCAGCTACTCGAGGCGATGACTAGCAACAACATGCAGTATTTCCTTTTTGATTATGACGCCAATGACAAAATCTGTGGATGCTCCGACTTCGTGTGAGTTCAACTATCTACAGCGCTACAAGCATCAGTCTTTAAATACTAACAAAACTTCCTAGTGCCCAAGCTTTCTACCAGCTCGAAACCCGTGGCTATGTTAGCCCTCAAGTAGAAAGCATCATTCCTGAAGAGCCTCAGATGCCCAGCGGTCTGACTGCCTATGACGTCCTACCTATGGCGTTCAACCGCCAGAGAGGACATATCGAACGTTCTATCGGCAGAGGTAAATTCCCGTTCTACACACGTGTTGAAGAACCCTACATGAAATATGATGATAAAGCCTCAGAGGAGGTTGAGTGAGATGACTTGGTTCTTTTTTTTTCTTGGTTTGTTCTTTCTGGTTGCTTTTGAAAAAGTTATCAATAATACCCAAGGGCGTGAATTAGGATGCGTGAACAGGGAAAAGGAGAATACCCGTACAGGCGGAGCTGCATTTAATCATGGAGTAGGCTGTAAGTTCGTTGAAAAGTTGTTTTGAAGCTGGTCTCAAGTAGGTAGTCATAATATCTACAGACTAGGCTATAATCATAGTCCTCGTTTCGAGGTCCGCTTTGCAGATGCTAATAGCATGGAAACCACGTATTTGAGGGGTTATCATAGCTTAATTCTAGTCCTGCTATCATTTTCATGACTGAATAAACTAGGGGAAACCTGCCTCTTACCTTTCTCTAATATTGATATACCTAACTGCTTGCTTGTAATGCTTTAGTCTACGGGATCTGCGTAAATTCCGATCTAAGGAGGATGCTAGCGTAGCCTTCGCACCAATTAGTGGTCATTTAATACTGCTACCTAGAAGTTCTCTTATCCACCAAAAAGATCCTTTTTTTTCTGTCAACTATTGCTGATGGGCTTTTTAAGGGCGACAAATCATTAGAAGTAGAACCACTATGCTGGTATGTAGGTATGTATTGTGTAGAGGTGCAGAGGCATCTCGTTTTGTTTCATGTGGACCAAACTACCTACCTAGGTACCTAACATATTAATGTGTTCCTGACGATTTGCTATATTTAGCTCGGATCCGTCAGGAGGGTGGTATTGCAGACTTAGCCCTGTGAAAGGGTAACAAGCTGTCTGGGTACATACGGTACTTGAATGTTCTTTTAAATCCTAAAGATAATCATCTAGGTTAATGTAGTTAGACCAAATTATACAAAGGCAATCCAATGCTGCTAAAATACATTCTTTAAACTCTTACGATAGTAGTTATCGCTTCTAATTTCCTTGTCTTCTCTTCTTCTTTTGGTGATAAGCATTCTTGCGCACGGCATTACATTCCTCGAATTAATGATAGGTACACCAACATCGTGAAGCTCACACCAAGATCAGCAGATCTACAGTCGAACTGCTCTACATAGTACATATGAGAATGGGGTATTGCCCTGTAGGGTTCACTCATATTCGTCTGGGGGTTCGGGGGTAGGGATTAAGCCCATGTCTAAGTTCTGCCTTACGCCGCTAATTTAACCCTGGTTTTGGGGGCTGAATACCTACACTACCTGTTGGTCTTGGGGCCTTTTTTCTGTTTTCGTAGCAGACGAGCGGGCGCAGCAAGCGGTCAAGCAGCTTATTTTGCTTAGCCCATAATGCTGATTCGATAGAGCCCGACGATTAGGCCAGATTTTATCGTCATGCCCGTGCTATCGATTCCTACTAAAAGATGATTTTCATTCTTAACTAAAAGCTAGACGGACCATGTTACGCTTATGGCGTTGTTGGCGGAGTAGGTATGCACAGCTCATTCAGCCGCAGCTAACAGACTCGATTGTGGATCTAATGTTGATATGATGGGTGTTTCGCCAGGAGATGAATCCTTCATGTCTCCATAGGCTGTAAGGGTTCATTCGGTGGTCTAGCCCGTTGCCTACCTATTTATTAATCTAAAGCAGCTTCGCTGAAGATTTACAAAGATTTGGTCTTTTGTTTCTTTTAATAATTCCTCGCTCTTTCTCCTGGCCGGTCGATCTCTGGTATTATTCGACTACCATTCCTGTAATCAGTGTAAGACAGACGTAGAGAAAGAAGCCAATCGGTTCAACATTGTCATTACTATAACCTTCGACGAGTCGGTTCATTTGTAAATATCACGACAATGGACAGCCAAGAAAAATACGTCCATACTGGACCTCAGTATCCCCAAGGCAGCGATCCTCAATACCAAATGCAAGCTCATCCACAAGCACACCCGCAAGCCCATCCGCCTGTAGGTGCCTATGTGCACCCTCACGCGCCCCAGCAACCGCAAGCGATTCCCCGAGAAGCTTACGGCCAGCAAGGTGGTGAATGGCAAGCGAGTCTATGCGATTGCTCGCCATGCTCGAGCTGCCTACTAGCCTGGTGTCTACCATGTCTCCGTAAGTGTCTCGATCTTAATCGACTACAGGATATAAGTCGATTAGGTAACTAACATGATCTCTTTTCCTTCGTAGTGGTCGGTCAAACCTCTGAGCGCATTCGGGATCCCTCGATGCAGACAGCCGACATGATGAATAGCGATTGCATGATACACGGCCTTATTACATGCTTCACCGGCTGCGGATGGATGTACGTTTCCCCTTCTAATCGTTTTAGGTTGATCCCAGTGTTGATCTGTATTTCAGCTACGGCATGCTCAAGCGAACCGAGATTCGTGAACGCTACAACATCAAGGGAAGCGGATGCGGCGACTGCTGCGTATCATTCTGGTGCTCGTGCTGCGCTCTCATCCAACAGGATAACGAAGTCAAGATTCGCCAACAAAATGCCCAGCCTATTGCTCAAGGCTACCAGCCGCAACCCGGCATGCAAATGCCAGCACCCTCTTACGCGCCTCAACACTGATCTTTCGGCACGAGATCTTTGATTCTTAATTCGAAATCACCAGCATTACTTAGAATATAATGATTTCTGTAGATGTTTGTAAATTTAAAGGGCGATTGGAAATTGCTTTGATCCGGGTTGGACGTGGTTATGAACGACCTTTGAGGGCCGTGGACAAAGATACATGTCGGATTTAATGACAGCATGTGCTATTGAGATATGTAAGTGGAATGTATTTTCCAGGTATACCCAGGATGGAAAGGACTGAAATATTAACTCGGAACGAGCTTATACGCGGAACTGTAGTTTGTCTAGATATAGGAACTGCACAAATGGAATCGTGGCCGTTCTAGATGTGTCTTTTATTAGCCTACGCTTACTTTGCCCCCTAAGACCAAGTGCTAAGTACCTACCTACTGTCATCGTGTCTAGGTCGATGAAACCGACTCTCATGCCAAAATAAAGCTCCAATCACTATGAGGATATATATCTAATGTCACAACGCGCCTATCTTACACATTGAGTTCGCTCGGATCCATGTCGAACGGACCAAAGACAGCCAATCATCCTAAAGCTCTATCTACTCTACCCATCCCCACGAATAGTGTCTTGATCCTTTAGGTCGAGTTTCCCATTTCGTAGCTTCATATATATTTCGGTCCTGAATCTTGTAGCCATGAATAACCTCAGCCATGAGTGGGGTCTCTAAATGGGCGATGAATTGTGCTTTCTCGCCCTCCGTGAAGTCGATCCAGCTCTCGCCCTCTCCATTTTCACGCAATATTTCAGTAGCACCTATAGATGTCGGAGTAATACCTACAGTGCCACGCCAATGTGTATAGTATCTAGTACATCCCTCGGGAACAGCTGGTATATCAGACCGCATGCGCTTAGGAATTTGGGAGCTTCCATCGGTTCTATCCTGTTCCACACTTTCATTCTGCCCCCTCTTCCTCTTTGAACCTGGTTGGGACCCGCTCGAACTCGCCTTATCGCCCTCGACCGCCGGCGCTGGCACTTTGCGTAATGGTTCGACTAACCGAATGTACCGGTCGATGTCGTCTCCATTTTGTGCAAGGATTATTACACCTTCTGCCGCGGGCATAAAGTTGAAAGTCGCCTCGAATACATCGTTCAACATAGTCTTCCTGATTTCAACCCAACTGCTACCAGCTTCGCGTTGGACTCCTAGAAGGGTAGCCTCAACTACGTAGGAGCCTTCGAGTCCGCGGTTGCGTACAACATTAGCCACGTACTCTCGGTGAGGTTGTAACCGCGACGCCGCCTTCTTCTCGAGCTTTTTCTCGTGTGCGAGAATAGTATGCTGTTTTTTCAATTGACGCCGCACGGCAGCATTTTCTTTGGCCAGCGCTGCATACTCCTTGCACGCCTGCTTGACGTCTTTCTTGTCCCATCCAACCCAGAGCATCTTCTGAAAATCATTACCTACTTTTTGACAGTACAGCCCCTTAATTTGCTCCATAGCTGTCATAACGACGTCGAAATTGATCCCGCGGAAGGGCATGGGATCTGGAAGAATATCTGGATTGCTGTAATAAGTTTCCAGGAACATGTCGATGTCAAAGTTGAGCTTCTCCTCTAAGGTAGCCAAATTATCAAAATCTACTTGTCGACGGCCGGAGAAACATGACTCTTTGTAGGCTAAGGATTGTGCTTCCCAATCCGCCTTCATCTTCTCAAACTGGCCTGGCATAAATGACTGATATTGTTTCTTGATATCGCCGAACTAAGATCTCTTAGTTAGTAGATCTAGTTATCATGTTAATGTTAAGCAGTATATGTGTATCAACGCACATCAGGTTGGAGAGATTCTCTGCGGAAGAGTACTAGTAACTCATCCTTTGACCAACTGTCTACAGGTCCTAGCACTACGCCATAGTGTCGGCTCTGGGCTTCGAGCCAAGGTTTTGTCACTACTCGAAACGTTTCTGTACGCCATTCGCGAAGTTGGTCTTCATCGGCACCCTCCGGCTCGAAGAGGAGTCGCCGTATCTCTGCAGGCTCTACACGAGGTATGCCTTTCACGGTAAGCCTACCATTGTACTTGAAGCCTTGACCGAATACCGGCTGGGGTTTGGGAGCTAAAGGTTCGTACTCCATCTTTGGTGATAGGCGATTGGTGATTGGTGATTGGTGATAATATATTGAGTAAGAAATATTGAATCCCGATTCGGTTGGTATAAGTATTTTAAAAGCACTTTATAGTGTAGGTCATACTTGATTTTTAAGCACTCATATGCAGGTGTGGATGGTAAAGCAGAAGCCGACAGTTGATAACGGAGAGATCAAAGTTCCATTAAAACAGCGTTGCGATTGTACAGTTGAAGTTACTGTAGGTTTAGGTACCCGACTGCCCGGTCGACTACCTAACCTACATCATGTAAGGTAGGTACCTAGGTAGATAGATAGGTACATGCACAAACCCCTGTCCAGGGGCAGAAGTGGAAAAAGAATATGCGGGGCTCGGTACCCGGGGAACTTAGTTTATTAGTAAGAATATACTACGTAGTACCCCACCGGCCCCTTATATTTGGTACACTTACATACCTAAACCCTTTTAACTGATAGTGTACGGATTAACTAAGTTCTGAATGCCTTCTTTAGATAAAGCAAGTAACTACCTAACCAGGTACATATAAATACAGGCTATAATAGACTAACATAATATAAGGTATGCATTTGCATGGCAACATTGAAGTAAGAAATAAGCGTTGCCCCCTCAATTACATGTATTACCCGTTTCGCCCAGCCATTCTTTTTTCCAGAGCCAGAAATATCCAATGGCGCGCGATGCCGACATCTGAGGTTCAGGTATATAGCAACCACCACAAACACCCAGCGGTGTAACTAAGCCTTGCCATTCAATCGTCATTGATGAGTATTGCATCCGTAAGCGAACAGTGCACGCCACGGGCGAAGCATTCACTTCGCCGTGCAAAGAAAATGGGCCGATATCGTCTATCCCATCAGATGCCTCTAGTGAGTATGTATCGCCGTCGATGTTAGTCTTGTAAAAGGATATTATAATGGGAGGGCCGACGCGAGCTCCCGGGAGTAGGCTGTATACGAAGGTTCCACACCATTCTCCCTCGACTTCCCTTGCCAGGTCGCGCACTCGTGTGGTATACCACGACCACCATCCATCACCGGCGAAGGGATAGAAATAACGCCCTTTCTTCCCTCCGATAGTCACAAGACTGGGCGTAGGAAGTGGGAATCGTGCTCGTAGAGACGTAGCTCCCATCCACGTACCATGTTCAGCGTCATCTTCTTGGCTGCTTTCGAAATACCAGGAACCAAAGAATTCAATGTTTCTTGGATTTGGGACCTCTATTAACGTTCGGGTGCTTTAGGTTAACGATCCTGTTTCAAGCATACCTATGTAAGATACTGAGCTCCTCACCTTGTGATGTATAGTAAATGTTTCGCGCAACTAGTTCTATTAGAAGGAGCGTATGTGTCTGCCTACCTATCCACGAATTTTGGAATTTGTCGTATCCTTGATATAGTGTGTTGCCGTCGTATATTTTCTTGATAATTGTGAGGTAGCTATTCGTTACTGGAAGCTCGATAGTTGAACGGTGTGCTCTAGACTGGCACCACGTTTCGAGTTTACTTAAAGCCAAGCAGAAAGCGAACTGTAGGGGATTCTCGCCGCCGATACACTGATCAATTCTGATAGTGTTCAAGTCTGGAGATAGAGAAAAGAGACTGGGACATAAATTGTCAAGTATAGCAGAGATACCAGAATTGCAGGCCGTTGTATCTATGCAAGCCATTAGTGAGACTATACTAAAGAGAGAGCAGGGCTATAGTACGATATAATACTTACACCCCCAGATAGGTAACGTAGAAAGCAAAGCTATTAGACCTTGGAGAGATGCTTTCGTGTCTTCGCTTAGTTGCGGCGGTCTTCTCATAGTCAGTGTGAGATTCCCGCGAATCTTAACAGTTGATGCTATTGGCTCTGCTAATCTTTCCAAATCCGCCTTGACACCTGGAAGTCGGGCTACAGCCATGGCGAGACAAAGCCATGTCATCCTTGGGCCTTCATTGCGCTGACAAGGCTTGTTGGGACCATCAACGTAGCCATCCATAAAACGCACCAATGCGGCCTTACTCTCGAAGGTGGCGGAGGTAAGTTTTGGAAGCTAGTATGAATGGAATCAGTTCTAGACCTTTGGATCATTGGGTAATGTGCGTTGAAGTAATAATACATAAAGCTGGAACGACATTCGGAAGACGGCAGCAGCGTTACATGCGTCGTTAAGAATTCGACATGTCCGACTGAGCGCCAAAATGTCTAGGGCCGTGCATCTTCCAGCGATAAGCTGGAGTAACTCCGTGGGAAGGTCTGTAATAGCCGGCATTGTAAGTTGAATAGGGGTTCGACACAAGAATGAATGTTAGGAAGCAGAATATTATCAAGGACCAACATAAGACTAGGCATGGGAATATCCGGAGTTTGAGGTTAAAATGCTAGTTACCCCCCCGAAAGATACATTAGACATCTCAGCTAAGAATAGGTAGATACATACCTACCTACCTAGGTATCGTAGGAATCCATTTAAACTGCCCCGCCATCAAGCTTCAAGTCACATGGATGTAACCTCAGCATCCGTACAAATTAAATATATCGTGAAAGATTTAGAACATGTAGCGAAAATATAACAACTCAATAAGTTTATAATTGATTTGTATTTGCGGCAATATATCGGTCATCTAATAGGTTAATAGGTGCTCATGTGCTCAGCAGCATTGTTGGTATTCAGGATGCCTAATCTATTATATCAAGAGATGAGTTAACTAAATATTTCTTATAATCGAATGATCTCATGATGAGATTGAATTAGCGGGTCTGCTCAGACACCGCTCAAGTAAATTTGTAGGATTTGCCATTCTCATGAGTTGATATCCTCGCATCTTCTTCTCACTATCCTACTTGGTTTCTCACTTACCCAGTGAACCGCATGAAAAAGTCGATGCCTCATTAGATATTACTCTGGCTTTCCTGAGAATGGCCATCCTATTGAACCTACCTAATGAGATTCTCATCTCAATTCTTGATGCCCTCGCTGATGTCGATCTTCAGTCACTCATCATCTTACAACTCATGAACCGCCGGCTTTATACGCTTGCCAAGGATATCTTATACAACGTGAAGACTATCTCGAGCACCGACGACGCGAGCGATGATGAGGGAACGCGAATACATCCTCTTTGGAGAACGAAATTTAAAGGCCTATTCGATACGTCGGACTGCTTTACGGACGAGGAGAAGGCGAGAATGGCGTTTCTAACGCTCAACGGCGATTACACACTCCCCTTCCGCAGGCTCCCATGGGCACAAACGGAAAGTGAGCGTGACGCATATCGCCGCCCAGGAGCGAGCTGGCACGAAATTAGCCTTACTTTCGGCCGAGCTCCCATAACCCACTTAGACGTAGTCAAGAGTTATTCCGCTCCCGAGGGCGATGCAGTCGACTACTACCAAGTGGATCTGCCGCCGTCCGGTATGACAATGGGTCTCTTCTACGACGTTCTCCTATGCGACAAGGCAACATACGGCTACGAGACGGGTAGTTGGGAGCTGATCGTTGGTCGAAGATTACATAGTTTTGATGTTCTGTTTGAATACGAATGCTTCATTCCGGATGATAGAGACTTAGTCGACATCGGTAAAGAGGCGCGTCAGGCCGCGGTGTTGTACGTGCGGGGTGGCCCAGTGAGCCGTAAATTCACACCCGAAACCGTGGAGGACAGCTGGGTCGTCAACAGCAATGTCAAGCGACGACTGCTCCCGTGGCAAGGTCCTATTCAGAACTTCATCTTTACCGGATATTTCGACTAGATCCTTGGGGTTGAGACTGGGACTGTTGAAAGCTCAAGGTTCTGACCGCGATTGCACCCTACGATCTTCTAAGTCGGCTACGGCTTAGACGATCCATATGTAGGATTAAGAAGATGTGGACATACATAGGTAGGTAGGTACCTACATAGTAGACTTTATCGCAAACCTAATTACGTCATATTTCGATGTCCTAGGGATTCCTAGGGATTCGGTAAAGATTGCCGACGGGACAATTACACGTCCGTAGATGCTTCAGACTTTATTTCTAAACAATCTTTATTTGTAAACAATCTAAGATCTCCGTTAACCATTACACAAGGAAACATCCGGACCAATCAAACGTTTTCATCAGAAGACTACACTTCCGCATCTGAGATATTGATTCCTAATCGTAGAGATATAGGTAAGCATCCAATTAGTAATGATGAGTTATTTTCTTACTTATTAGCGACCAATTGCAATCCCCTTTTATTATATATATTGTACATTGTACGAGGCTTGGGGTGGTATCTTGGTAGATCTACATTGATGTTACTATGTACGTGTCTAACCTAGATGTATGTATGGCCCGTATAGAGCTGCAGACCAACTAGTCCAACTAGGACAACCTAGATTTCTACATACATAGTACTTCTAGATGAATTAGTTGACATACAATATACCCAAGTATAGTGGGGCTTGAACTATTCAAGGCCATAAATTAGTAACGGACAGCGTTGCAGAAATGATGGAATGGGAAAAGACTACCGTCACCGCCCTACTTCCGCTGTGCTTCGGACCTGTCCAGAACAAGTGACACGTTTCAGCCCCGTGTAGATGCCGATATACTGACTAATACAAAATCCACCTTGAAGCTAGTTCTAGGCCTGTTCCTGAAGCTTCTATTAGTGTGCATCGAAATGTATAAATAACGGGTACCTTTTTGGTAATAGGAGGGGTTGTCTTCCATCTGTTCCTACTTCAATCACAACATCTATACCCTCGATTACAACATCGCAAATAGTCTTATTCACCTATCATAACTCCCAAAACACCACACCTCATATTCACTCAACAATCATGGCACCTTTTGGCAAGATTTACTCCTACCCGGGAAACTTCCGTGTCTCACGGGTAAGGATTTCTTTATTCTTGAATACCTAATTTATAGTCATTGAGTCTAACTTCTTTCGCAGGCTCAAGTCGTAGCTGCTCACAATGGCCTCGAAGTGCCCTTAGTTGAGGACTTCAAGATGGGTGTGGACAACAAGACCCCTGAATTTCTGGCCAAGTTTCCCATGGGAATGGTCCCTGCTCTAGAGTGTGCCGACGGCTTCTGCATCGCCGAGGGCGCTGCTATCTGCTATTATCTTGCGCGTTCGGGACCCAAGAAGGATCAACTACTCGGCACTGATCCTAAGTCCCAATCTATTATCGACGAGTGGGTATTCTTAGCCGAGACCGAGCTTCTCCCAAACGTCCTCCCGCCTACAGCCATGGTGATTTTCCCGGGATACCCTAAGGACAATGACCGTTATGAGAAATCTGTGACGGCCACCGTGCGCGCTCTAAAGCGTACCGAAACCGCTCTCCAAGGCGGCAAGAAGTACCTTGTCGGCGATAGCGTTACTCTTGCCGATATCATGGTAGCAGCCTGCGTGTTCTTCGGCACCAAGGTCGTTATCGACGCTGAGATACGCAAGGAAATTCCAAATGTCGTTGCGTGGGCGCAGGGACTGCAAGCTCTTCCCGAGTTCAAGGCAATGGGCGAGTTTAACTTGCTAGAGACCCGCATCAAGCCATGAAAGACTTATTAAGATGGCGGGGAGCATCTGCACTGCTACCTTAGGCCATGCCGGGTATAGTGCCTATGAAGGCAAACTATGGGCATCATAAAAAGCTTTGGGAGGTACTAAAATATCAATGAAGATGAACTCGAGTCGAACCCAAAGGTCTGATAGTATCGCAGCATGACATATCTATGTCTATTGCTCGGATTATGGTTTGTGGGTGGAAGGTATCGGTGAAATCAAGATAGTTTCAAATCATCGTACGAATGCAACTATTTCAGACCTTGCTAAACTTTTCGTGCTCTAAACATATTATTTGCCCGGAGTAGTAGTGCGAATAAACAACTAACCTAGGTAATTGTAAGTGTAAGTTGCACAACTATCAGAAGAATACGTTGACAACTCTAAGCTGACGACTGAATATTAATTACCCAAAGGCAAAGAGGCCCACCCAACCTCAACTCCTTAACAATACCGCGTAGGTATATGAATACAACTAACCAAACAACAACTGCGAGGACGCTAGTTATTCATAAGGTGTATATAAAGATAAATGCTTCTCACCATTGCGTTTCACCATCTGAGCTCACCGATTCACGCCCTTTTATATACCATTTGCCGTTCCAGTCAAGTATAAGCGACTCAGCAAGACGCAGACCCACCGAGATGATGACGACAGCAGGAAGACGCTACGCAGCGAGAATATCAGTTAGATGCGCCCTCCGGACTACAAGCCGCCGGTCTCCGGTTCCGGGAAGTATTTTACAGTCCGGGCCCACGACTTCTCAGAGACGATTTATATTTTCCAACCCTAGGAAGTCTTCACGTATATCTCAAATTAGGGAGTTTTCTAATCTCCGAGAAGACGACCCGGCAGGCATAAATACAACCCTATCAAGCAGCAATCGGCAAAAACTGCAGAGTGACATGGCACAAAACACAAACACTCACCACATCGTTGTCGCTCTGGAAGCTTCAATCGTCCCAGTTCCGCTGCTGGACCTCCCCGCACCGCATACATACGAGCTCCGGGAATACGGAAGAACCCGCCCTGAGGAGGTGGCCGAGAGGGTAAAAGATGCCGACATTGTCATCCTAACTATTGTTCAGATCAAGGCCGACATCCTGCGGCCCGAGATGACCCCTCGCCTGAAAATGGTAGCCGTGGTAGCATCCGGGACCGACTGCGTGGACCTAGCAGCCTGCAGGGCCCGGGGGATCGTCGTGGGCAACACGCCGCATTGCAACACCGTTTCCGTCGTCGAGCACGTCGTTATGCTGTACTTCGCTACGCGGAGATCAGTAGCGCTTTTGCACACGATGGTCCAGTCGGGCGAATGGAGAAAGGGGATGTTGCATAGCACCCTCAATGGACCAGATGGCAGAGCGCCAAGGACCTGTCGGGACGAAACCCTTGGGATCATTGGCTATGGTGCCGTGGGAAAGGCGCTCGAGTCTACTGCTAAAGGGCTAGGTATGAAGATCCTAATATCTGGACGCAAAGGTGCCTCGACAGCGCCAGAGGGCCGCACTCCATTCGATACGCTGATCCGCGAGAGTTCGGTTATTGCGTTATGTCTGCCGCGGTCTCCAGAGACGATGAACCTAATTTCCAACGCCGAGCTGGACGCTATGAAGCCCTATGCGGTTATAGTCAACGTTTCTCGAGGGGGTATCGTGGATGAGAAGGCACTCGTAGCAGCCCTGAGGTCGAGAAAAATCGCAGGTTACGGTACAGATGTCTATGAACAGGAACCTGCAAACCCTGACAATAGCCCTCTATTAGGACCTGATGTGGCTGGCCTTAACATAGTTACTACGCCGCACGTTGCCTGGTGCGCGGGTGACACTATTGCAAATTATAATAGGGCGACAAAGGAAAATATTGTTGGATGGCTGACTACTGGGCGGCCAAAGTATTCGGTGGTGTAAGAAGTTGGATTATTAGATATATACACATTTAGGCTACCATATTGCATTGCATTATAAACACCAAGAATACATAGGTAGGTAAATATATAGGTAGATGGTATACATATATTAGGTACTTATTATATTGATGCAAACGATGGGTTGCCTAGCTGTGCATAAAGATTGTGGTGATAATATAAGGTACCTACGGTAGTAAATAAAACAAAAAGCTGCAGGGCAACTTCGAAAAAAGGACCTAAGAAAGTATTCCTTATAAGTCATAATAAAACAGCAAACCGTCACCCAGAATGGAACGTCCCAGTGGAGGCCGCGGCCTGAGAAGCTGGTGCCACCCCATGACTTGATGGTTAGAAAAACCCAAAGGGGCTTTTCGTAAGGAGAGTTTAAGAAGTCACGCCTCCCCAGCTTTTTTTTTTTTGCCAGTTACCTCGAGGTCTACGGTTCAAGTCACTGCATTTTGTCTTTTTTATTTCTCGGGGACCCTTTTAAGGTGCCATGGCCCGTGATATCTACGTAGTTTGCTACAGTGACAGCCGCCATATTTTTTCACCTGAGATAGGCAGATAACTAAAAAGAAGGCATGATCTTGCAGCTGGCTGGCACCCAGGCAACAAGATACATCTGCCCAAGTACCTACCTACCCACGAAGTAAAGGATATATATCCTAACTGCAAACCAACTGTCAACCGGCGCCCCTCGCTTGGGCGACTTGAGGTTAGAGAAAACCCCACTGTGGTGTCTTATGCTGAACCGTTCTTCCCAAAGAACGTGACTTGACAGCAGATGCCTAACGAAGCCGGTTTTTCGTAGGTCTTAGGTTCGAATCCTCTGCCCCTATCCGAGGGGGTTCGAATCTGGGGCTGAGCTTTTTTTTATTCCTTTTTCTTTTGTTATGGATAAATAAACAAACAACTATCTTCTACGTATCTATCTGCCTAACGATGCTACTTAGCCTGACTCCTTCTTTTGACAAAGTTCCTTCATCAACTGTCTGTCCACTTTGGTGGTTATGAAGCAGCCATAACTCTTGGTTCTACCTAAGCAGAATTTGAGGATTAAATCTGAAAATGCCATCACCTCAAACTAGAATAGTATTCATTGACATTTACATAACTGCTGTAAATAACGTCATTATATCTGCCCAATATATTCCACTTGTAAAGGATAAATATCAGTCGAAGTAAAAAGTCGGGACACAACCGCAAATCCTCGACCATTCCTCCTGGTTATTTATTTACTTAGTTCATGTCAAATTCTATTGCGTTTGGCATTGCAGCTTCACTTAATCACGACCACTAGAGTCACCCTTCATAGTATCTAAACTACTTAAAGAGTTAGCACAGCTGAAATGGAGTTTACAGAGTCAATATATACGAAGAGGTAGTTAGCCCAACTGCTTGAATAAGACACATACCGTTGCATTAAGTTAGGAAGTATGTATGTATTGGATTTCTGCTGGCATTTTATATTAATCTATTCAAAATTATTTACGAAAGTAATCATACCTATCCATAGTATTCGCGGCTATGCTATGTTATGTTTGGTGTTGTACGGTGAGTTTCTGAGGTAATATCTCATGATAATGTTGATCATGAACCCTAGGTTAGGTTCTTGTTAACGACTAATGTGACTTATCTTCCTATGCTATATCTTTTGTGATCTCACGAAATCAGAACGGTAGAGGGGAGGCAGGTTACCTATATATAGAATAAAATTAAGTCTAGTTATGGGTTCTGAACTTGAGGTTATGATCACTTACGTTTTGGAGACAAGGAATGGGTATTATGTAGTTAATAAGTTTCCCTCTTATTGCCCTTCTCGCCTTAATCTCTTCATCGCCTTCCTAGCTAGGTTCTTATGTCTTCGGAAGAAAACCCTCTTGGCGCTAATGCTAATGCTCTGTAGAATAGGCAATGCCAAAATTATCTAATATGCCAAGTAAATGATACCCGGGTTCGACCCACTCCGTCCCAGCCGTGGTGCCCGAGTTTACGAGGGATATTGTCTTGGGGACCTTTTTTCGAAAGAGGAAGTTCGTCCGTGCGGCGCTTTTTAAGCGTTTTAATTCGGTGCATCCCCGAAATAAGTGGAACTACACACGTGCTTTTCCAGGTCCCCATTTTCATCTTTTTCTCAAAATACGTATTTTTAAGCCTAGGTTCGAATCCCACACGCTTTTCCCTTTTTTTTTTTTTTTTTTTTTTTATATATATATATATCTTTGTAAAGGTCGGTATTCGAGGTTTCCAGGTGCCGCTGCCGGGGAATGGCGCGCGTAGCGCGCCATTCCCCGGCAGCACCATATTACCTTCGAAAACTCGGGCTATTGTGGTACACCGCAGGGGTGCCCTCATGTTTGGTAATGGAACAGTAATTTCCACTCACCTTACCCGAATCGGATGATGCCCGGGGAAGCAGAAGGTTTGAATACGAGGACATTGCTTTCATCCCCTGATTTTGGTGGATAGGGGTGACTTGCCGAGAAAAAAGGAAAAAGAATAAAGCTCCAGTGCATGGTCTAATTTACAAATATGCTTTTCATCACTAGGTTCCAAGTTATCCATCTGACAAGACAAGATGCCGCGCTTAGCAAGACTGGCTTTGGCCATTTTCGCACTCGCTGTTCCAGCGCTTGCTACGAGCGTTGACATCCTGAGTCTGCAGGATGGCGACCAAGTGCCCGGCAGATACATCGTGAGCCTTAAGCCTGACATAGATATTGGGGCCCATTTGGATTGGGTGCTTAACGTGCGCAAACGGAGCCTCTTGCCTTGCAGGACCAATGGTCCCGAGAAGACGTATGCGTTTAAAGGCTTCAACGGGTATGCGGGCGAATTCGACGAAAACACCATCGCGCAGATCATGGCCAATGAAAATGTAACGCTTGGTTCCCAACCCTATTGTAATGCGCAACTGCTAACGATCCTAGGTCCTGGCCGTAGAACCCGACAGAGTTGCGCGTCTGACGTCCGTAGTGCAGCAGACCAATGCGCCGTGGGGTATCGCAAGTTTGTCTTCGCGATCGCAGCTTGCTAATGACAACTCGCGGGGCCACACGTATTCTTATAGTGACTGCGCAGGGGCTGGGACGTATGTCTACGTGCTAGACTCTGGAGTCCTAACCAACAACACCGAGTTCGAGGGCCGCGCTATTAAAGGCTATAACACATGGACGGACACGGAGTCCTTCGACGACCACTACGGCCACGGGACCCATGTTGCAGGAATTGTGGCATCGAAAACTTATGGCGTGGCAAAGAATGCGACTATTGTAGACGTTAAGGTTGTCAGAGGGCTGGTGAGTTAAATCTGTGCTTGGCTATATTAGTTATTATATTCTTATGCTGAGTGAAATTGTAGGGTTACTCGACGATCTCCCACGCTATCGACGGGATAAATTGGGCCGTGAACAACATCACCTCGACGCCAGGGCGAGCCGGCAAGTCCGTCCTCAACATGAGTCTAGGTATGTAACTTACAGTCTCACCCTTCCGCTCCGTCTCCCATCTAACAACCTCCTAGCGTTTGCAACCTCATCAGCCCTCAATAACGCTGTCAATGCTGCCTCTATGCTGGGCATACTCTCCGTCGTTAGCGCAGGCAACGACGCTGCCGATGCGTCGACACGCTCTCCTGCCTCAGCCGAGTCCGCTTTGACGGTAGGTGCCGTAGGTTGGGATCGGACCCGAGCTTCATGGAGCAATTATGGGCCTGACGTCGACGTATTCGCTGCCGGAGTTGACGTGCCCTCGCTGTGGAACGTGGAGGGCCTCGAGACCCTCCTCTCTGGTACTTCCATGTCGTCGCCGCACGTCGCAGGGCTTGCGGTGTACCTCAAAGCCCTCGAAGAGGGTCTAGATGAGCCTGCCAAGACGGTTGCCCGCATCAAGGAGTTAGCTATCGCAGATGTCGTTATTGATGCGGGGAGCGGCAGCCCGAATTTACTGGCTTATAATGGTATTGAGTAATGTATTATATAGTGTTAGTGTCGTGGGAACGATGGGTTACGGATTGCATGCATACCTTACCTAGGTACCTACCTTAGGTACGTATCATAGACTATGTGAATGGGAAAATTAATCAAGAGGAACTGTACTAATTACTTTATCATTGAGGAATCTTGTTAGGATAGCTCAATTAACCTAACTAGAAGGTAGCTCATAATTACACACGTGCGGAATAGTCAATCCTTTACGTGATGACACTTCTTGATACACATGTCACGATCCTCATCAACATTAAACTGTCCATCACGAGTATCAACAGAGTACAATAAGTGGGTTGCTCAACCGAGTATGAAAAGTTTTGGTAATCGGTATCATCCTAATCCTAGTGTAGGCACCGTAGCCTCGATGCCGAAGATGTAACCCTGTGTAAGGAAAAACAATCGTACATGCAAATCTCGGACCCCCGTACCTCTCAGTAAGAACTTTTCTGGTCCGTTCCATGCCCCTGCCAATCAAAACGAGGGAGTAAGCGATACCCCCAAGAGCTCATTAGAGTAGAGAAAGTCTCATGATCAACTTTGCGGAAAAAGAAAAGGTGGCATGGCTACTGCTGTTACCAATGCTAGTAGTACTTTAGATCTAATAGTACTGTCGGATCTGACCCGAAGCCTCTTAGTTAGGTCCGGGGATGTCTGCGATTCAGCCGCTTGCGTGATGACTAGTGGTAGTTACCGCCCCAGCCACCTTGCTGTTGCCGGCCGCCGTAGTAGTTCCCGAAACCTTGGTTGCCTCCGTAGCCTCCGTACGGACCATTGCCGTGCCCTTGGCCAGCGGTGCCCCCGAGACCATAGGCGCTTCCTGCAGACTGGTTGCCGTGCAAACCGTGACTCAGATGACTAGGGTAGCCCCCATATCCGCCCATACCTTGCTGGGCTGACTGGGGAGGTGGAAGGCCAGATGCTGCAGCGGTGTTTGTAGCGGAACCCGGTCTTGCGGCAGCGCTGAGGGACGGGCTGGGTCCGCCAGCAGTCTTCGTGTCGCCATACGGTTTCAAGTCGTCGTTTACAGGGCCCGTACTTGAAGCAGGTGCATTTGGAGCGTTGAAAGACTGCCCGGCCTGAGAGGGGTAACCTGAGCCACGTCCGAACGTGTCATGCATCCCGCCGAATCCGCTGCCACCAAGACCGCCTGGAGCGCCCGACTGAGTGGAGCCTGCGCGGCCGTAGTTATCGATGCCGGAAGCTATTGCGCTATCGCGGCCACCGAGAGAGGACTGAGCAAAGCCACTTGTTGCGGGAGAGGAGGCATGATCGTAAGGGCCTTGTGGGGACATTCCGTACTGATGGGGTTGTCCATAAAGCCCCCCTTTACCGTATGGGCCGCCGTATGCTCCCTGTCCATAAGCACCGCCATACTGGCTCATGTACTGGGCGTAGTACGGACTCGAGTAGTACGGGTGTGAATAGGGATATTGGTTAGTATGCGGCTGCTGGTGAAGGTTAGATTGAGGCTGAGTAGCTTGGCTCGAAGCCTGTTGGCCGCCTTGACCGATAGGATTTGGTGTATTGTGGCCACTGTTGTGAGACTCGGCAGAAGCAGTAGCTCCATATCTAGTCTGCTGAGCGCCGCTCTGCGGGTACTGACTTAGGTTATCATTTTGACCAGCGTTGTAGCTACTAAATCCACGGTTTGCAGCGTTCGAAGTCTCGTGATGGCTTTGGCCAGCATGCTGTTGCCCATATTGCTGCTGCTGCGCGTAGTAATTATTGTATGAACTACGAAGCTGCGGGTCGTTAGAATAAGGTGGGTAATCACTCGGTGCGGAGCTAAATGCGCCACTAGTCTGCGGTCCTGAGGCTTGGGTCGTGGGAGTTGGGAAGTTATCGAGACCAGCAGAGCTGGTAGCAGTCTGCTGGCCGAAGGTATCGAATGATTTCTGCGGGAAGCCGGCCGGTTCTGGCGCATTGGTTTGACCATAGCGTCCAAATTGCTGGTTGCTCGAGGGTGCTTGCGGCGCTGTAAGAATATTAGTAGGGTGACTGACTTGGGGATACTGCGACATACGCTGGGCTGTAATGGCAGCGGGACCGGTCGGTGGGGCCACGGGTGTCGCTAGACGACGGTTAGTGAGCTGTTTCTTCTGAGAACGGTGAAAGGGTGCTCTACCAGTTGCGCTGGGTGCCGAGGGTAAAGAGGTAGCAGGCTTCTGAGTAGCCGCAAATGCGTCGGGTACTGCTGCAGGCTGAGAGACCGGAGGCAATGAGGCACGGGGAACGGCGATCGGGGATTCAGGTGGCGGTTGAGTTCTAGTCTCAGGATCTTCACGGTCACCATCGATATCATCTTCGATTCCGTTTAGGCTGAAAGCACCGAATTGTACGGCAGCACGGTCGACCTCGCGGTTCCCGGGCATTCGGACTGCTTCTTCCTGCTCAAGAAGACGCTTTTGGTAACTAGGCATGCGAGGGGCCGGACGTTCGGTTGCCTTAATCGCGGTCGTCACAAACCCACTAGCAGGGGGGCGTGGAGCCTGGTGCTGCGCCTGGGAGGCCGAGAGCGGAGTCGCCGTAGCACTAGGCTGCGGCTGTCTGGGATCCCAGGAATCTGCGGCTGTACTAGCAGCTGTAGCGGTATTCGGGGGTTGAGATTCATCGGGCAGCTGCTCGAGGTTGACTCGGGTTAAATCGTCTTCAGAAGGGGCTAGTGTAACTTCGGGTTCGACAACCTTAGGCGCCTCTGTGGGGGCAGGCTGTTCGGCGACCTCTTTCGGGGCTTCCTCGGGCGCAGGCTGCGATTCAGGCTCGGGGGGGGGGGCGGCGGCGGCGGCGATAGGTTCGGCGGGCGGCAGAGGTTCCAACACTTCGGCCGGCTTGGGCGCAGGGGCCTCCTTCGGCTTCGGTGTTGCTTTCGGGGCGGTCGACTGGCGCAGCATGCTAGCCCAGGTCTTCTGTGTACCTTGCGGGATGACACTGGGTTTAGCAGGAGCCGAATCAGTAGTAGCGGTGGCGGGCGTGGGAATAACAGTAGCTTCGGGGGTAGAATCAGTTGTGCCCCAGGTTGAGGCGCCTTGATCGTTGGTAGCAGCTTCTTCAGTGGTGGTATTGGTGGTTCCCCACCCGGAAGATTCTTCAGTCGGAACGGAAAGTTGTTGGTTCTCCTTCAACCGTTGACCATTCGTAGTAGCATGAGAAGTTGCCCGGCCTCTGCCGCTTCCTCGACCTCGCTCATTACCACGACCACGACCACCTCGTACACCATCTGAGCGACCGCCACGAACTGGTCTGCTGTTACCGGTTGATTCGGTAAGGCCAGCTGGAGTGGAAGCATCCTTCGGCTTAGGGCGGGTAGTGGTCTTCTTCTGCTTCGATACTTCGCCCCACTGGGAGATGGTACCTATAAGTGATAATTATATTAGCAAGGCGAGACGGTAAAACGGCGAGGGTGGCGAAGAGTCAGGAGGGGAAGAGCGTACCTTCAGCAATCCGTGTAGCGGCGACTTCAACATCACCGTCAGTTTCCTTCAGTGCATAGAGAATATCGGCATCCGACCAGTTCGGGAAGAGCTCTTTAATAGTGTCGAGCTTTCCACCATATTGCTTCCTGAGTTGGCTAACATCACCGTCGTCATCGAAAGCGGTCGCATCTGCAGTCGTCAACTTATCACCATTAGTCCGTCTGTTCGTAGAAGTACGGCTGGCGAAGCCTCCTCTGCCACCGCGGCCCCCACCTCGGCCACGAGAGGATGGTGCCTGTGATCGAGCCTGAACCTCAGCCATCTCGTAAGACTTAGGTTAGACAATATGGTATGTGGTGTAAATGATTCCCTTCTTAGAAGGGGGGTTCAACGATAGCAGTCAAATCGGCGATAACACCAGTGTGGTGGTCGTGGTGGTTGTTGTTGTTGTTGTTGTTGTTAAAATGTGAAATGGTGGAGAAATAGGTTGTAGGTTGAATGACAGAATTGGTTTGGGTGGGTGGGCGGTTGGAAGAGGTAAGAAGTTGGGGGCGCGTGGCACTGTATGCGATTCGACGCAGTCGAAGGTGAGGCTGACAAAAAAATGTGCGACGTGTCAATAACGCGACGGTAGGCGAATTGGCCAATTGTCTTTAGACAATGGCAATCGGGGTTGAAGTAGGAGAAGCTTCAATGCGAGAGAGGGATGTTGAAGGTAGATATTTGCTTTGTGTGTGTTGTAGTACGTGCGTGGTGTGAGAAGGCAATCCAGAGCTTGCAACGAAAAAGGGAAGTGGACTGGATCTGAAGGCTTTTTCGGCTGTTGGATTATCTAATAGTCCTGGCCTATCTGATATAGGTTACCACTTGTACCACTTTGGTTTGCTTTTAGGCATGTCAGGTATGGTAGATACATTTAAATGTACTGTGATACCTTGAAAAACATGACCTCAGGCCGGATTGGTGCAGGTAGCCTTCCCTAGATGTATGTACCTATTCCGCCTGACCTAGGGATTATGCCCCACAAACACTGAACTCTCTTTTTTTATGATTGGATAACCACACAGGTGGAACCTAGTGATAGCACATGCGAATCAGTACCTACATATCAGAGTACCTAAGTACAGTATGGGGAAGCTTACCATGTATGTATCTTGAGACCTTCAAGGCTGGGAGACAGTCGCTGAGGGAACTAACTGCCTGGTACCTAATCTACCTATATTACATGTAGGTACATGATGTACACAGTACGTAAGATCAATCTGCATGCTTCATACGCACATATGTACATACATAAGGTAGTGTATGCATACCTCTACGAAATCGGTTATTGTTTAATTGACGTGGAATGGATTGCATTTGGCTAGCTTTACGTACTTTAGATCTGCTACACTACATACACGCATTTTATCATTCATTATAGGTATCTACCTCAAACAGAAATAGGTAGGTAGGCATAATTTTCAGATATTTTCCCTATAGAACAAACAAAGGGGGCTTTTCTTCCTTTTTCTTGTGACGAGATACTGGAATTTCAATGGTCGAGCTCACGCGCCAACCCTTTAAAATCTGTCCGTGTTCATACCAACCCTTTGGTTTAAGAAACCCCAAGCTATCCAAACAAATACGATACCGGATCTAGGGAGTTTCTGCCGTGCAAATGAATTATACCCATGGATATATTTTACTAGTGCGTATGTAAAGTTCCAACTTCTTTACTCATTGTAGGGCTGAGAGGACGCGCTCAATGTCGTCATGGCCTCTAACCTCTGATTTAAATCAGCGATGAATTGAAGACTTTATCCGGAGTAGGTATTACTACATATTTCAAGCCATGGCGTTGTTTGTGCCTCGCGGTCCAGTGCTGTGTGACCATTACCTGACTCAGTCGCATATTTGGTTCATCATTTGACTTCTTCCGACTACAGGTATCGCCGCTTGCGTTATCTGGCATAGCGAGACTGTGCCACCTCACGTTGCCGTATTATTACGATCAGCTTGTAGGAATTTGATACTTCGTGCTTCATCGTATCTCTTATTGGACTGACATCACATAGATAATGTGATAAATTATATATGTCCAAGATATCTAACCTCAAATCTTGAAAAGAAAAGAACCTTAAACAAAGTACACAGGCCAATACTTGATACCTGTTATTTCAAATCCTTTTGTATTGTTCAATATGCACCCAACCCAAGGTAAGGTACCTAGGTACTATGTATGTAAATACATGCAGTTCGAAAGACCCATATGGAACTGAGATCTGTCGCGAAATCTGGCAAAGGATTCAATAGATCCAAAACCCGGGTTGTACCTATGGAACTAACCTTACATGTAGGTAGGTACCTTGGTACATACACTACATGTATGTAGTAGTAGACTGTACCTGAGCTGAATTATGTAAGCGCTGTAACCAGGGAGGAGAGGAGCTAGAACTAATCGCCCAATCATCATCCGCCTATCGAATCATCAATCCATCTATCGCAACCTTGTCTCTCAAATGACAATGTCGACTCGACAACGTAGGAATTGACGTCTTTGAAATATTTTGAAATATTGCATCTTAACCCCGACCCTGCCTATATATTCGAAAAGTTGAGAAATAATGATTGAAGTCTGGATATTCCCGTAACTTTAGACCCAAATTATTCATCGTCACGTCACCATCATCAAAACCTCAAGATGGTGGTCCGAACCACTTCGCTCAACTCGCTCAAGAAATTCCTCCCAAAGATACATCAACCCTTACCATTAACCCCCCGCGAGTCCCAACAGCTGCTCGATTCCATTACGACATCCTTCCGAAAGAACCTCGACAAAGAACACCCGTGGGAGCATCACGATGATATAACATCGCAGACTTCTATACCTCAAAATAAAAAGCCTATCCTTTCGACATCTCTCTCCTCTTCATCTTCTTCGCTAGATACCCCAGGCCAACAACATCCGACAGACCAACACTTACGCGCCATTCTCTCCAATCCCCTCTTTTCCCACCAGGGCAAGAAGAAACTGCCTTCGGCGTCTAGGGACCCTCTCGATGTCTTCGATTCCGCCGTGTCGCGGGGTCTTATGACCCCGCAACGTGCTATCGGCTTTCTCGCCAAGGTGCGGTCTCAGATCAGAAACGGATCGGCCGACGACATTCGGCAAGGTATGGCCGCGTCCGGGGCTGGGCTACGGGTGGTTCAATGGCTTCGGGCTTCTGGTCTAGAAAATGACCTGCAATTCAGTTCCAACTCGGCCTTATTTGCGGCCCTTATACCCTTTATGTATGCCGAAGGCCTTGAGGAAGTAGCTTGGACGTGGGTGGCGCGCTTATCTATATGCGACAAGACCCACGATATCAAAAAGCTTCACATATCGACCTTGTCGGCCCTATTGTTCGCTATCGTGAACCAGACGAGTTATACATACTCTGGGGTGAAGACTAGCCTTGACCCCTCGTATGAGGCTATAATACGTGCGAACGATATACTGCCTAAACAGAACGAAGTAGCGCTCAAAAGTTTCCGGAAGGCGTGGGCTGGATTGTCTTGGATTTCTACGGTGTGCGCCTCGGAACGGCCAAAACCCTCAGCACCTCTGTTCGAATCGTTCGTCGACATAGGGCGCCCATGGAAGATGCCGATGGATATGGCGCATCTAGAGCTCCATCACCCCCTCGTGCCCAACCATTCTGCTGCTGTTCAGTTCTTACATAACAGTTTTGATTCCGCAAATCTTCATCCGTTTACCCGCAGGCGGCTTGTTTGCTTAGCCCTGGATACAGCTGATCGGCTGAAAGAAGTCGGAGATACAGACGAGGTCTCCTGGGTTGAGCGATTCTTGTTAAGAATAGGAGATGACTTGAACTTTGGCGTTTTTAGTAGGTCTGGAAACGACTTGGTATCCGAATTACCCATTTATCGTATGATGTAAGAGATACGGAGCCATAACATGAGGATGGGAATGGCCATAGTGTCGTTCAAAAATTTATTATGGGAAAGGAAATATGGGCTGGACCGGCGTTTCGAGGGAATTGGGCAGCATGTTCTATACCGAACTCTATCCAATGGAATGGAAATCGAAGTTCACAATGCAGCGTTTAAGGGTTATTAGCAGTATAGGTACTTCTTAGCAATAAATTACTATTATATATCTTGATTCACCTCCTCTTGTGTCCGCCTTCCCGTTATATTTGCACCACGTATTCCAACCACTTCGTATGACTAAATACGTTATATGTACCTGTTACCATGTTTCTAAACCTCGTAACAAATTTGGGTATCGTATAACAATTCAACGAACCGAAACCAAAAATCAGACAGGTCTCGTGTGAAGATCATTCCTCGTATATCTTTCGTCCGTCTTGTTAAGACCTTTCACCAGAACTCTTTGCCAAGATATTATGTTTTAGAGTCAACGACAAAAAAAAAGTAAGCCAACGGGAAGAAGATAAGCATCATTGCTGATCTTCTATCCCGTTAACAACACGCAAGGCACGTCTGGGCGCCAACACAACGCTAATGAAATTCGGTTGCTGTAATATTGAAGTTAGCAATTATCTCTCGATGTAAGGAGCCCGAAGCTCCCTGATTCAACGCGATTGGGAAACTCCGAGGGCGTAAGCAAATGAAATGAGGAAGAGAGACATTGAATACTACGTACCCGTCCATCCAAGAGAGCGTCTGCCGACCCAGCCGTGCTGCGACTCGCGCCGCTCTTAGATCGCCCGATGCCTCCTGCACCCGCCGCCCCGCCGATGTAGCTATCATACGCCCAGGGGCTGTCATCACTAGGCCGCGACCAACCATAGCCCGAGCCCGACCCGGATGTACCAGAACTCGGATCATCGCCGACCATCTGCTTCTGTTCACTCTGGCGGCCCACCCACCCGAACTGCTCATTAGAGTTGCCGGAGGGTTCGCCGCGGTGGCTCTTGCGTAGCTTCTCGCGCATCCCGGCGACCGTCGCTCCGAAGCCCCTATCTCCGTCTATAGAACCGGAGTCCCGGTTTGCAATAGCCACGTGCTGCTTATACGCAGCCACCTGGCGACGGTATAGCCATGTGCAGAACCCGAGGTATAGTGCTGCTAGACCCGCTAGGCCTGCTATTACGCCTGCGGCGATTAAGCCACCATTCGCACCGGCGGGTGATGAAGGTGAGTCGCCATACCCCGAGCCGCCAGACCCCGAGTCGCCATTTGTCACGGTTGCGACGCTGCCCGGTGCCGTAATGGTAAACACTGGCGGTGTACCAGTTTTGAAAGGACCGTCTGTGGCCGGGCCAGACGCTGGTTGCGTTGCCGTTGCGCCACCATCAGACGAGCCGCCTACTACCGACTGAACTATATCGGGGACCTTATAACCGTAACTACCTGCTAGTATGCTGTTGTCTGGGTTGTCGTCTGCCGGGTGGCCTGCCGCATCGAAGGAATCTTTCCATTCCAAATTCGAGGCGTCAAAATTGTAGATACCAGGGCTGTCACAAGCAATCTCAGTGCCGACATAGCCACCAATCACGATCATCTGACCATCTCGGGCAGCACATTGATGACCGGCTCGGGCTGGTGGCTCCTTGCTAGTCGAAGTATCGACTTTAACCCAGGTAAATGAAGGCACAGTTAAAATCCATATGTCAGTGTATTGCGTTTGATTTCCATACGGGAGCAGATTCTGCCCGCCGTACATGTAGATATTAAACGAACTCGCATCGGGGGCTGAGAAGATAACTGCGCATGGATTTACTCGTACTTGAGGTGCCTCACCAGATGTCTCTTGGTGATACCAGGTACTAGTTTTTATGTCATAGACATCAATGATACTCATGGAAGAGAATGCGTCGGTGGTTTCGTGTTCTCCGACCACCCCTCCGCCGAGGCCTAGTAAAATACCCCTCGGAGCCCAGCCGGGGACGTAAACGAGAACACCGTCAGCTCGCTCGGTGAAGCCATCCTGGTTTTGAATGCCGCCCCATGTGATGTTTCTGTAAGCACCGCCTGGGGGAGCGCCAGAAGAATGGAGCGAGTCAACCCCGGAGTTTGCATACCCTGGATGCGTGAACTCAAGTAAGCTCTTCAGATAGACACGGTCAATCTGGTTCGTCCATCCCGGCGTGGTAGCCCAATCTAGGTGACCGCCGAAATACCAACTAACGCCCAACTCAGGTACGGAGATTCCAGCGCCTTCCGCCGCCCGTTGTACAGGAGTGCCTTCGGGATCTGAAAAGTTGCCAGCTGATGTCGTAGGATCTTGTAGTTCTGTCCATGTTGACGAAGCTACATCATACATCCATGTAGATATCGGCGATGGTTGCACAAGAGGACTGTCGGAAAATTCGCCACCGTAGAGATATAGACGGTCTAAGTCGTTCCAGAGATAGCCAAGAGATACCGCTGGCGGACCTGACGGTCTAGGGAGACCTGACAGGGCCGGTGAGGTGATATCCCATGATTTGGTGAGATCAAGGGCTATGAAGTCGTTGTCTAGGACCCAGTTAGCCGAAGCTTTGCCAACTTATCAATGCTTCACCTACTCCATGTGTTCGTTTGCTGATCTCCGTTATTCTTTGACCGACCTCCATAGAAGTATACCGTCCCATTAATCAAAGCACCTGGAGGAGATTAGTACCTTTTATATGAAGAGATCAAAAACATCTAATAGACACTTACTTTGACCAGCCCATCGTGTACAAACGTCGGTGGGACTGTCCTCTCTAGGTTCGAGAATCGCGCTCGGATTTGGTCTGATCAAGCCCGCGTCTGCGCCGCTGACCTCAACCTTTTTACGACCGCTATTATAACTAATGGTAGGAAGAACAATTGCGATAAGTAGAGCGATCATGGAGAGCCTGTGAAGCCCTGCGATCATGGGAGGTGGCGCACTAGAAGTAGTTTTCATCCTCGGGCGCCTCGACGGTGCCAATCTAGACAACCACTTGGACTTTCCCCTCGGCGCTCCTTGCCCAATAGAAGATCTCGTTTCCACCGGTGACGCTATTTCTGAGGATGGCCCAGTTCTTTCACCGGCGTCACTTTCTTCCTGCGTCTCTGAGGCTGTGCTTTGTTGACTTTCTCGTTCCTCCGCGGCCAGTCCTACTTCCTTGAATATCGATTGTCGTCCTTTTCTGATACTGCTCCCCATCGAAAATGTCGGTAGTCTTGAGCCTTCTCTTAGACGATCTGATGTGACTAACGAATTAAATCTTGGACGCGGAGTCTCGTTTCGTCGACTTCCGGGGTCAGGGTTGCTATTGAGGACTTTGGTAAATGTCATGGTGAAATAGCATCTTACTGTTGTGTAAACGGCTCTCTTCTCAAATCCACCGTATAGAAGAATATCGCCACTCCACGGATAATGTTAACCACGGGAGAGGGGATGGTATCTTCATATATGGATATGAGATCACAGAGCAACCCTTTTGAGGGGCAGCTAAAATGTACAGGATTAATCCAGGGGCCAATAACGGCGTAAGTATCACGGTACTTGCGGATACAACAGCGTTGGCATTTACATGGTATAATAAGTCCGGGTAACATTTAAGACTTGTGGATGTAACAGGGTGACATGGGCGCTTGGCTCACTACATCATGAACATGAAGATTACATGCCATGATTGCATCAGCCGTAAGATGGGCTCGAAGCGGCAGATTCAAGCAGGAAAACTTGGCAGCCTGTCTGATAGAAATCGGTAGCATGTAAGTTGCTCATTGCCTTTTTAAGCCAGGAACAGGAATATTTAGCGCAAATGATTGGCTCCTAATAAATGGACCAACCGGGGTAGGCCAAGTATGACGACACGTCGCTAAGATTTGATTGATCTAAGGTCTGGAAAAGGCAGGATTATTTCTCCACAAGGAGGTTTTGTTCCTATGTAGTATAGTTGCTTTTACACTAAAGCTTGCCTGGGAAAGAATAGAGAAATATAAATGTTTAACATTCAATAACTATAGCAAAGCCGCTTACCCGTAATGGATCGCGTTGCTGAAGGAGTGTATTTGAAAGGTTTCTCTAGTCAAGCTTATTTCTTATGAACCATATGATACTTTATGTAAACTACCGGACATGGCCCTATACAGCCACAACGCTATAGCGTCACATATAAACCCCTGAGGTTGCTTGAGTTCCTATATATGGAGGGCTCTCTAATGTATCTAGGTTACCTCCTTAAACATAGCCACACTCCCCGGTTGGACATGTTTACGTTTATGATGAATTAGTATCCCCCTTATGCCGATATCGTATTTAATTATCTGTTGCAGATGAATGCAATGGCATTAGCGGCTGTTGAGAGGCTTTTTAAGGGGCAACTGTGAGATCTGTTTAATAATATTTAGGCCAATGATGTCTTCGAGTCCACTTACAGTATCAAAACAAAACATCCTATTCACACCGAATAATCTCCTTTTCCATCAAATGTATTATCGAAATCATTCTTAGGGTGATTTGCATTATTCGACGCTACACTTTAATTACTAAAAACCACCAGTGAATTGTTTAGAACTAGTTTGGTGAATGATATAGGTATTTAATAGTCACGCTGCTAGCTACCTTATCATGAGCGTAGCATAATCCCTTCAAGGGCCAGGCTCTAGTGTATAATGCATCGGTTATTAGATGTAAGTACCTATGATATCGATTGCTATTTTCGATCCGAGTGCACATAGTTGATGGCAAAGGGGCCACGCTGTAAAATAATGGTGACTACTAAGTGACTACTTAGGTAAGGTACGTTTCTCTATTTGGGTACTAGGGACACGACTTCACTTGGAGAGCAGACAAACAATGATGCTTTACTGGATTCTGACTCATGTACAAGTGGGCGTACACGGCAGAAATTACGGGAAGACTGCGATTCTGCCAAGTTAGTTTCTGACTACTTACATCGCCTCTAATGGGTATATAACCAAGCACAAATTCTTTTGGACTTTCTTGTAGACATCTATCCACATCTTATTAACTTTTCCGCTTCGCTTATTCTTTCCCAAGATCTATGAAGACCTGTCTCTAATTCGCTAGGTATCTTGTAAACTCGTGGAGCTACACAGGTTGTCGCTGCGATAATTAATACATACGCGATGCGTAGCCTTCTGTTTGCTCTGGTGGCGCATGCATCTGGTCTCGATACAAGACAGCCACCAGAGCTGACTACGGTCACTATTCGTTCGATGACAATTACATCCACGAGGACGGTTACTACTAGTCCAGTCTCGTGGACAAATACCTCCATCCAGACCTTGCCCCCAATCGAACCCTCTATGGCGTCCGTCTCTAACATCACTGGAGCAACGCTGGGTACAGGCGCTACAGAAGCAACTTCGGCCATCACGGAGACCTCGATTAGCGGGACTGGGGGCTCATGTATAACTGTTACCCCTAACCTATCGGTTCAGCCTTCCCTACTTCCTTCAACAAGTTCTATAGCGATGTCAAGGTCTGAAGGGGATCACACCATGCCTTCTGTGAGCATTCTCTGGCCACGACCGGGAATTGCTGACCCACCAGAGGCTTCACCATCGTCCTCCAATATACCCAATACTACCTCAAGCTCGCTAGTCACCTCAAGCTCGCTAGCCAGCTCATCTACGCCCGATACCGTAGGAAGCAGCACAAGTATAGGATGGAGCATCTCGCCGACGATAAGCTCGACTGGGCTCGTTGGTTCTACCAGTCAGAGTAGCGATTTATCCACTTCAACTAGTAGCGAGACTTCCACTATTGAAACCTCGTCGCAAGTGACTAGTGTGAGCACTCTCACTACTCCCGATGGGACGGGATTTGGCGAGGCCACGACGATGCTGACCACCGCTGGCCCGAGTCGTCCCGATCAAAGCTCATCCAGCTTTGGCCCCGCGACTCCTCCTTCATCGACCCCCTCTCACAGCACAACCATAAAAGTGTCCGCTATCGATAAACATTTCGTAGGAACCATTTTCTAGTTGACCATTTTATATAGCTGTCCAAGGATGGGTTTATTGAAGGATGTGCTGGGGTTTATTCTCTTTTCTACAGAGCATCTGGAGTCTGCCCAAGATTAAAAAAGGGGGGCGGTAACATGTAATAGGAAAATAGTTTAATGAATTTGGAGTTGGGTAATAGTCTTAGGTTATAATATTAACCATGCATACTTCGTATGATTTTTAGATATCCTTCGAGGTCGCTTGAAATGATTATGTCTGCACAGTATGTCGCGGTTCTAACACTGGGATTTCATATTTCTGCTGGTAGTCGTGAGATATATACATGATTTTTTTGTGTTTCTTCAAGTACACCGAGTTATCATTATCCCCATTGTACCATTGGTTGTACTCATAAACGTACCTACTCTAGACTGATTTAGTTGGTAACCACCCTAGCCAGTGCAAAGCTCCAGTCCAACACTGTAAAAACTGCGTCTAGAACCGTGATGCGGTCAAGCCCCTTGCCCATGATCCATCTATCATTATTTCGGCTCAGCGTGAAATTTAGAATCGCCTGAGAGAAGTTTGCGAGTCCGAGGACTGTCAATGCTGTAATGTCGAGCGGGACATCACCCGCGCTCGTTTTCGAAGAAAGGTATCGCGAAGGGCGCAGCAGTGAATACAGTCGAAGAATCGAGAGAAGAACAAGCGGGGAGTTCATCCCCCCTAGATAGGCCAATATGTCGTGATGCCACTTGTCACCGGATGGTGAAGAGCGGACTGCTGGGTCTTTGAAAGTTTTGCGGTGTGAAATCCTTCGCATTACGTGGGCTTGGCGAAAGCCGAAGTGAATGACGGCACTGTCAATATTAGCTTTTGATCTTGTTTAGCATCGAGGGTGAGAGTCCGGGTATATCTGATGAGATATTAGTCTTACCTACTGAACCATAGCTTGAAACAAAGAGATGTTAGCTATCAGATAGAATTAATTATCAGTTGAGAATCCAACACTTACTGCATTTCCGGCGTAAAGGGCTTGGGTTAACCCAGGGCCAGTAAGCGCTGATAAAACGTCACTCATTATCGGTATCTGAAAGATCAACCTATTACTTTGTTCTATCGTTGGCCTTCTTGCGTCTAAAGCGTTACAGATAAATGATTCGGTGGTGTATTTTTCTAAACACGCTCTTAGTAGTCTGGTGAACAAGCAGAACTTACATTGAGAGGTACTATTCGTAGAAATCCTCAGTCAAGGCCGAGGCAGAGCTCAGCCAACTCCACCAGGATGGGACACCTCGGCTGAAGCATCTAAGACGTGGATGTAAGCTTACATTTCTACCTGGGGTGAAATAACTGAATAGGCAGGCAGAACTTCCGCAGTTGGTATAGAAGGTAAAGTAAACTAGGGCTCATACATATAATACCCCATATATGAGTGGTAGTCTATACGACGGCCGGGGTACGGCATTCTATGTTCCCATGCTTCAAATCCCGATTCTAGTAGACACTAACAAAACTCTCTAGACTTTTGGGTTCCTATTACTGTTGATTATACCATATACCGGATTCCTTTGAGAAGGCTATCCTTAAGTAATGTCAAACGCTTTTAAAGTGTTTACAATCTAATACTTGGGCTCCTTTATGGCCTGAAAAGCGTTGATCATAGCGGTGCGGGTGCTGACGTGCTAAATGTTAAAATAACAAATGACCTTCAGGTGAGCTAACTGATGGTAACTTTGTATGTAGTTGTACTTGAGTATGTCTCAAGTACATGTTCTCGGAGTGATATTTGTCGTGTCAATGTAAAAACAGACATAGGTTACCCGCACGGTAGCAAAACGAGTGACTTATCTTCCGCTGTCTTGAATTGTTTGAAATATTCGCCAAGCGGAGGGCTCGATGCTAGGAAAGCCATTATCCAAAATGCGCAGTTCGCCTATTGACAGGTTGACCCGGCGGTTTTGGAAATATTGTCACGGGGTGGAACCAAACAGTAGGGAAACAACTTCGTTGTTCCGCGAGGAACTCTAATCTATCTACGAGGGCCTGTGTCTATACATACTGAACATGTCCTTTGTTCTAGATGTCTCATCTAGAATCCTGACAGACAAATATCGCAGGGCCATTACCTTAAGGGATGACGACAGACTTGGGGAAATGACATATATTTGGCAAAGATTGTAGGAAGGACCAGGTATGAGGTAAATAATTAGGTATAGATTAGGTGTACACCAATAAGCGTACGGTAAAGGAAATGGAAGGAAACGAAACACACGGTACTGAAATGAGGCTATCACGATCTGTTGTTCTCTGTTGTTGAGTTGTGTGTGTGTGGGTTAGCCTAAAAGGTAAACCCTTTTAGGCTTAGCCCCACGCACGTGGTGGCACGTGACTGGATTACATAATTGGCTATTCCCCATATTCCAACAAAGATGATTTGATGTAGGCGGGTAATAAATGCTTGAGGTAGATATGATAGTTGTCTTTTCATGTAATGTTTGGTTTTATCAAATGTTAGATACCTTATAAAATCATATTATAAACTTGGTATTTTAAATTAATGCAAACGGTAGACTTCCATTAACGTTGACCTATAACACTTTCCCTGCATACAAAACCACGAACCAATTATTCGAATTATTCTGTCAGTTACGTTCTGTACCTAGCATATATATGTGTCCCTGTTAGAGAGATGAAGGTTATCTATTGGTTGAGTTTTATATATCTACTACAAAGCGAACTTCCCTATCAGTGGATTGTAAAAAAATCGCACAAGAACGTATTTGAATGCGCCTGCTCTGACATATTTTTTTCACGGGAGGCGTTTATTAGCTGTTAATAATAATAATAATAATAAGATTTCTCGAAGCATCGCCAAAGATGCTACCTCTAAGAAAACACAAGAGGAACTGCTATATTTGCCGACTTGACAAGTATGCCAATATTAAAAACACATTTTCCAGATCAGTCCCGAATTATTAGAAACTCAAGATGGATGAGATTGAGAAAAGACCGATACGCTTGCCCACTGAAATCATTGAAATTATCTCGTCTCTACCCCCCTGCCAACAAATATGCCTGATCACCATTCTAACTCTTTCTTGTTACCACCACCTTCGCAAGCACTTTGCAACATATCAGATCTGTCCCAATCGTAAATACCACCTCGTTCAACAAAAGATTTCTTATCCCAAACGATTTGTTTCATAGCTTCCTTAACGCCGACTTGCAAAATCGACTCGCTCTTCGTTATCATACCCTCGCCCTTGTCTAGGAAGCACATGTACTCATCTAGAAGTAGGTAGCTGCTCGCCATAGAATTATTATCTTCCGGAACATAGCATGGAATATGCTTGTGCCGATTGCAGAATGTTTGCCATTGCTCATCAGTCACCAAGAAGGTTCTCGCGTCTCGTTTTCTCGTCTCGTCATCGTTCTCTCCAGCCACGATGAGACACTGGAATACTTTCCATCGGAATGGTGCTAGCTGTTCGATATTGGCTACCATATCTTCGTCCCAGTTGTGTATGTTAACGACGGTATTTAACTTGAATTTGATTCCATATTTTCTGCACCACTCCGCAATACGAAAAAGCCGAACCACATTCGCTCCATCGTCACCACGCCCAATCTTTTTATTCGTCTCCGGATTAAACGAATCGCAAGACACGGCTAGAATATCTAACCACTGGCAGTTTTCTCTCAGCCAATTTTCCCTGATCTTGCTGCCGTTGCTCACGATGCTGATGCTCTCAACGTTCAGCTCTTCCTTGCAATAGCAGAGTAGTTCGGTGAGGAGACGAGGGTAAAGAAAGGGTTCTCCGCCCGCAATGTTGAGCTTGCGCATGCCGGCCTCTTTTAGCAGCCGTAGACCACGTTTCGCCTCATCGATAGGAAGGACGTAAGAAGAAGTGTCGGTGTGGAAACAGAAGCCACATGTGTAGTTGCATTTCCGAGAGGGGAAGTAGTTCACTGAAACAGGGGCGTCCGGCTCTGCTGAACGGTCCTTAGGTGGCTTGTTGATGGCGTTCAGTTTAAAGCGTTTCTTGGTCACGAAAGACGTGGAAACGACGTAGCAGACAATTATAAAGAGGCATAAGGCAACCGGTATATTTGTCAGAAGAGCCATGACTGCCATGACTGCCAAGGTAAGCCTCGCCTATTCTTATGTGGTAGATTCGGCAGAAAACGCCAAACTAATATAGGTGTTATGGAATTCGGGTTCTTTAGCACGGGATGAAAAGCGGAGAAGTCGGTGATCTCTGTTGACGTGTTAAATGAATTAACTTAGGTTACCTGTTGAGTAACTCGAAGAAATTTTACCTATTTGAAACATTGTTATCGATATCGATATGCCTTTACTTTTATCACATGCATCGGTTTTGTAACATGACTCCTGCCCCACCATTTACGCCCGATCGAACAATAGGTACCTAAGCTTCCACTGTCCAAATACTAAATACTGCACGTACCTATAAACCTCATAGCATTTACCTACATGTATGCATTATCACCATGGAGCCTACTCCCACCATCCATATTCCCCGTAGCTTTGCGGTCATCTTCGTTCTTGGTACGTGTCTTGATGCCTTGAGACCCTCCAATCTACTTTGGCTTTGCTATACTAAACTTTTAGGACCTCCTGGCGCTGGAAAAGGAACACTCTGTACTCATCTAGCACAAACACACAACTTGACGCACTACTCTGTCGGCGATAGCCTCCGTGATTGGATGCGCCAAAACCATGCCACATCACTTGGAATCCGAATCAAAGACAAGCTCGATAATCAGGGGTTTCTTACATCGGAAGATTTGAATCCGTTTATTTGCCATGCGATAAAAGACGCCATATACCAAGATGAACCAAAGTCTCGAGGCATTCTAGTCGATGGATTCCCGCGATGTATAGAGCAACTAGAATCATTTAACACGTGGCCGTTCCAGGACGAATTGCCACTTTCTCCAAGAAGTGATGGTCGGGTGAGAGTAAACGCAAAACCGGATATCGTGCTATGTTTCCAAGTTACCAAGCAGAATGCGGAAGCAAGATATCTAGCCCGAGGGCGAGATAGCAATGACAGTAAGGAAAAGTTCGAGAGGCGTTTCGTAGAATATGAGGCGGAGACTATGGAAGTTGAGGAGGTGTATCGACAACGTGGCATCTTGATCGACGTGGGTATCAAACGATCTACATAGGAATAGTGAGATACTAATAGCTGTAGATTGATGCGAATGGAACGAAGGAACAGAACGTTAAGGAGTTGACAAAGAAGCTTGAAGAAGGTGGGCTATGGCAGAAAATTATTGTTGAAGAAAGTTCAACACGTTTTCTTGTGTAAGAGGCACAAGAAATGGAAACATCACTAGTTTAGTGTGTTATTACCTCACTCCAGCCAAAAGTCTCTTTCTAGAGCACCTATTCGCGAATATCAAGCGTACCTATGTATGTCTGTCTGTCTTATCGGCTATGGTTCTTTAGGGGCAATGCTCAACCTATTTGATAATGTTGACACTTCTCTGAGAAACCTATCCCTGTATTTCCTTTTGCCGGTCATATCGTTAACTATGCTAGAGGAACCCATATTTAGAAAGACTATAAGAAAAAGCTTCTATATTAAAGTTTTACCTCAATGCGAGGACTTCTGCTACCCACCCGAGAATCCTATTCTAGTTGCAATACTGGAAAATGAGAACCCGTTCTGAAGTATGCGTTTCCAAGGGGGAAAGCGAAATGACGAGATTTGGTGGCGTACTATTTTCGATATAGAGAGTTTCGGCACTTGGGTCTTCCCAGCACTTAGACCGAAATTCAGGCAAGAAGCGTGGTATTAGGCAGTCAAGTATTCATTGGTTTGAGATACTAACTATTAGAAGACAATAATGATATTTTTCGGTATCGATCAGAACTTGAATACTTTTCTGCTGTTATAAGTAAATTTCGTTGATATGAGACATTTGAGATCTTAATCTTCTACAACTGCCTAACCTAAGCAGATGATGTCTTACAATAACGATTCGTATTGGATATCCGCAACTCTGGGATAAGCTAGGGTCTCTCGATGTGCGGGGAGGAGGGCTAGGTAGTAACAGGTTAACTTGGCAAAGGACCCTAGATTTACATGGGGATCCCCGCCTCTAACAAGCAAATCCCGCACGAAGACCCTGACGGCATGGAATCTCGATCTTGGTAAAGTTGGGGTGGGGTTACGTTACGTTACGTTTGAATTGTTTAGGATAAGGCGTGCGGTTGAATTCATAGTTAATAAATCGAGTGCGTCAAGTGCTACACATATTAGGTATGTTCTACAATTGGAACTTGTGGTATTTTCTATAACTATACTTTAGGTACATAGGCATGTGCTGGACCTTTTTGAAAGCGATTTGGAAGTATAGGAGACCCCCACGTTCTTCTTCTAGAACTGGTACCTAACCTAGCCTTGATGTGCTTTATTATACTAATTCAGGCGATTAATCTTACCAATTAACTAACTAGATTTAATATAATAATATAATATAACTTCCATAAAAGAATGAACATTGGCTAGAACTTACTAAAAGCACGTGGGACGGCGGGGAAGAAGATATTGGATGGTACATAGGTAGGTACCTAGTCAAGGGGCGAAAATGAGATGGTGGATGCTAATGGTATGCAGTGATAGAGATTTCGAGTTTCTGGGTCTTGATGCGATGCAACTGCAGAAAATACAACGCTGCCAACACTTTTTTTTTTTTTTTTGGTCGTGTCTTGTCTGAACCCAACTCCTCTTTCTGCCCTGTGGTTGACGCGTTTAATGCATTAAAAGCTCTTATTCCATCCACTAATATCGATACCGGTGTATCCGTTATCCTTACCCGGGTTGCGGAGAACCTACCGGATGGCCTCGGGTTCACGGGTACCTCAAAATACCGCTACGGAATCTTCGCCCGCATAAATTAGGCTACATTTATACTTTATGTACTTAAGTACAAGTACTCTTTTATGCTTTGTACGGGGTGCGTATACCTTATGTACTTATGTACCTACCTAAGGTACATACATACATGTAATTACATGTAACTAGTTCTTCTAATTCCCATTCATCTAGTTCTTCCATACATACATATTCACATCATTTTTTCTTCTTCTGCATTTCAACCCCCCGTGTATCTATTTTGCTAATTGCGGCATGTGGCGCAATTGAAATTGAACGTTTTGCTGCCTTTTTGACATTTATGTAACTATATCAACTACTTACACAGCCTACACAGATACATACACTACTTTAGGTACATACACAGACCTTTCGTCGTCTTATTCCCGAACCGCGAGCAGCTATTATCCCTGCTACTAAATCTTGCCGTGCTTCATCTTATGTATCGCTGCATTGGCTTCCAAGCATTAGCCTCCAAGCATCTCTACTTTTGATACCGACCATCATCCCTGCAGCAATCTTCTTCTACTCCGCCAAATCTCCAATTCTTTCTTACGACCTTCTTACCCAACATCGTGTTCTCTTAACTCTTATCCCAGTCTCCCTTTTCCGTATCTAGTGATGACCTCGAGTCGCGTTCCGAATACCCATACCCTCTCGACGAATTCCTTGACCATTTCTACCGCCCTCCCTTAGCATTCATAGCGACAATTGTAACACGAGGGAGCGGCGTGATCAGACAGAAGTAAAACGAACCGAGCCAGTGGATCGCCGTCATGCCTGAGAAGCCTCTCACCGTTGTCACCTATGCGGCCGGTGCTTCTCTCGCTGCGATCACTCTCTTCTACGTTTTTGCCCCCAACTATTTTCTAGATAGTGATTCCAACTCGACACGTAAAAAAGGCGTTGTAGGCCTTTCGAACCCGGCAAACGACTGTTTCATCAACTCCGTCCTCCAAGCCCTCGCCGGCCTTACCGATCTCCGAATCTACCTCATCCGAGAAACTCACCGAAGAAATATAGATGAACCATGGGTATATCAAGAAATAGTGCAGGACCCTGCATACAAAAGCAAGCCCGATTGGAAAGTCCAGGGTCTACAGGCCGGCCTCGTCACCAAGGGTCTGAAGGATATCCTCGATGCCCTTAACGAGCGGCCTATTTATAAGAAGACTATATCTGCTGGCCCCTTTATTAGGGTCCTTGAGACTTCTTTCAAGCAGCGTATTAGTAGGCAACAGCAGGATGCACAGGAATTTTTACAGGTGGTGGCCGAGCGATTATGCGACGAATATCATGCCGGAAGGAGAGCTCGACAAGCTGCGAGAAATAAATGTAGCACTGAGGCGTCAGCAAATAAAGCAGAACCAATCGATGGCGACGCTGTTGAGCAGCGTTTGGCAAAGTTAGCCATAGATGGAAACGGAAATATTGACACTGCCAGGCCAGAGGAGAGTGAAGCCGAAGTCGAGGCGCAAGGACTACCGTCAAGGAACGAAGAAGATGGGTTTCCAATGGAAGGAAAATACGAAAGTCAAATCGAGTGTCAAAAGTGCGGTTTCAAACCGAAGCCAACAGAAAATACTTTCTGCACTCTGACGCTAAACGTGCCGCAGTCAAGCTCGACATCGCTCAATGCTTGTCTGGATGGGTTCTTTAAGACTGAGTACATAGACGACTTCAAGTGCGACAAATGCCGTCTTGTGCACGCAAAAGATCTCCTGAGGGCACAGTTATCGCGATCCAATTCTGAGAGACTTAAGGCCAGTACGCAGCAGGCGATCGCTAAGCTGCAGCATGCCATCGATAGCGACCCTGAGAATCCCCCGCCAGACGTTGAATTACCTCCTATGCGAGACGCTCCCGCCTGTAAAATCGCGAAGCACACGCGACTGACGGGCTTCCCTAAGGTTATGGCTATCCACCTTTCCAGATCCATATATAACAGTATCTCACAGAAGAATTCAGCCAAAGTTACATTCCCAGAGCAGCTACTAATGGGAACTCTATTGAATCGTAAAAAATACAAATTACTCGCTACGGTTACGCATAAAGGCAGTCATCATAGTGGACATTACGAATCCTTTCGCCGACAGAACGTCTCTCTCCCGTTCTCAACTCCAAATGCGTTCCAGGCTTCCGACATATTCGCCAAATCAGCTACGCCAAGTCCAGCCTCAACTCCACGCGTTACTGCTATATCGAGATCAGGGGATCCCAGTCCAATAGCCTCTATTCCGGATCTTGGTTTCTCTTCATCCGGAAGTAGCTCGTCTAATCAGTCAGTTGATGCCCTGCCTCGGCCATCGACAGATTCAACGCCCCAATCTTCCGCGACATCCAATGGTCGACGTTCCTCTCGTCGTAGCCCGAAGCTTTCCTCCTTAAAGGATCGCGAGTCGGATACCATCAGCCTCAAATCAGTTGCGGCATCTGCGCGATCGACTATGTCGAGGATATCACACTCGGCTCGAAACAGTAGGCCGAGCAGTCCAGCTGGCCAAACGCCAGTTGCGCCATCCACTGCAAGTGGAAAGGCGACTACAACTAAAGTAAATGGGACGAAGGCGAAGCGTCGAAAGCAAACCGACCGATGGTGGCGTATTAGCGACGAAAAGATCAAGGAAGCTAAGACGGGCGAGGTGTTAGGGATGCAGCGAGAAGTTTATCTGCTCTTCTACGAATTAGAGCGCGAGAGTCCGGCAGAGTCATAGAGCGATGTATACCGGCTCTTTGATAATATGACACGGGCCGTAACTTATGACCCCGAGGAACACGAAGAGGAAGACCTATTTTTAAAGCTCGGAGCCGAGCAAAGTGTTATTGGATGGATTAAAGCAATTGTTTTGGGACTTGGCTTGAAACTGGGCAAAATCTCCCGAAGCATACGAAGAGTGATAAGACATTCATGGAATAACTATATGGGGTACTCTAAATTTGATGATCTCGAAACCAGTTTTGGAAGAGATTCCCATCGATGGCAGCAACCTAAGAAGAGTGGAAGCTCCGCATACCATGAATGTGCGGGTATATGGATGGTACCGGAGGGAAAAAACTTGGTTCGATCATGGTCATTTCGGAAGAAACCGACTGGCGAAGATTACAAAAGAAGTATATCAAACTCTCTCGAGGTGCCAACTGCATAAAGACATCATAAAATGGTGTTTTGTGGCGCATGGGAAGGGGGGGGGATTTAACGCATTTTCTGGTCCATTGGCATATTGGGAAGGGGGTTTGTGGTTCATCAGCATGAATGTGGATATGAACTTGCTGGATTAGACGTTACTAACAGCAATAGTACCTTATGAGGGGCTCGAACGCCGCATCCAGGTGAATAACGTTACATGGAAACACTCGAATAGAGATCCGGCGTCAGTATAGGATTAGCATTTTGCGCCGAAAAAAAACGAACTGTCGGAAGATGTCCGTACTAGCGCTATACTAGGTAGGCTTTCGTGTATACCGTATTGGAAAATCCAGCGGGAAATATAAAATTTGAACCAAAGAGCATCGTGGATCGTGGATCATGTTGCATACGTGACTTTTCATCCCTCACTATCATCCAGTTTTGTATACCAGCAAGTGCTTATATGCTTATACAAACACGAAGTTGATTGAACAGCTCTATACTTTTAGTACTGTCCTTCGAGAGTCAACGTCCCCGTCTTCGTAATGAGATACTCGTTTATAGCAACGTCCTTTCCGGACTCCTTGCCGAACCCCGAGTCTTTGATCCCGCCGAACGGCGACTCCGCTGCTGACGAATTTCCTAATCGTTTAATATGTGATTAGCCTAGGTTACAGTTCTGCACGGGCTTGCTAACACGCTTAGTTTGCAAGCACTGCGGTGGAAGCTTACCGCTGTTCAACCCGATCATCCCCGCCTCGAGATTCTCGAACAGGCGCCATATCCGATCGATGTTCTTGGTGAAACAATATGACGCCAAACCCATCTGGATGTCGGTGTTAGAACGTATAAGACTGCACTACTCCTACAATCAGGACTCACGCTCGTGTCATTAGCTGCCTTCACGGCTTCCTCCTCCGTGTCGAACGGGAACAGCGCCAGAAGCGGGCCAAACGTCTCCTCCGAAGCAACCTGCATGGACTGCGACGCATTCGTGATGATCGTGGGTTCGAAGAAGTACCCGTTGTTCGAAGCTATGCGGTTTCCACCCGTAAGTACAATTCCGCCGTTCTTCTTCGCGTCTTCAACCTGTCCGGCTACCTTGTCGACACCCGCGGGGACTGTTAGGGGGCCCATCGTGGTGGTTTTGTCGATGCCGTGGCCGACTCGGATTTGTCGTGTCTTTTCCGCGAGGAGGTTGGCGAATTTATCGTATATGCCCTTTTGGACGTACACCCGGTTCGCGGTGATGCAAGCTTGTCCGGCATGTCGGAATTTTAGAGGTATCAATGCTGAAAGGCTTCTGGTTAGTTTGTCTGCTAGTTGATGGCGGAATTGGGAAGGCTTACCGTCGCAGGCTTGTTCTAGATTCGCATCGTCGAATACAAGGAACGGGCAGTTGCCGCCTAGCTCGAGGGTGAGCTTCTTGAGGCTATCTGCGCAATGGGCGGAGAGGATCTTTCCCACCCTGGTCTACTAATATGTCAGCCGGTCAAGTTATTGAGTATTCAAGGGGGTCGAAGCTCACGGAGCCAGTGAAGGATACTTTCTTCACGAGTGGATGTTTACAAAGAGCCTCGCTGAGAGCTGGAGTGTTGGCCAATGTGGTAGGCATAACATTAAATACGCCTTTAGGATATCCAGCCTTTTCAGCCAAGTATGCTAGAGTTAGCGCCGATAGAGGCGTCTCGGGCGACGGCTTCGCAACCATTGTGCATCCCGCCGCCAAAGCAGCGCTCGCTTTCCTTAACACCATTCTAGAGGGGTGTTAGGACCAAGACTTGGTTCTCATTTAAGTAGTAGCAGTCAACCTACACAATTGGGAAATTCCAAGGTACCAGTGCGGCAGTAACGCCAAGCGGTTGCTTGATGGTGAAGATACGTCTGCCGGGAATGGCAGCGGGAAATGTAGTCCCCTGAACTCGCTCTGCCTCGCCGGTGAACCAGCGCGTAAACGAAGCCGCGTACTCGATCTCGCCGTAAGCTTCGACCAGTGGCTTGCCCGTCTCGTATACCAAGATAGTGGCGAGGTCATCTTTATGCTCCCTAATCAAAGCATCGAATTTTGCCAACAGGTCAGCGCGAGCTCGAGGTGTAAACTTGCGGTAGACTTGGAATGCCTCCTGGGCTGCTTGAACCGCATCGTCGACATCCTCGGCAGCCATGTCCGGGCATGAGGCGAACTTTTGGTCGGATCCCGGGTCTGCTCGCTTATAGTATGAGCAAGTAGTCGAATACCTATCAAATGATTAAGCCATTACTGACCGATGATATCGAATCTTTTCCCAGATTTTGCTTCGATCCATTGTCCGTTGACGTATGCTTTATCTCGGAAGAGCTCCGGGTTCTTGAGGTTGAGCTGTGTCTCCATCAGTTACGTTGCCTACGTATACTTCAGGGGTAATCAGTGTTGACCGATTTCAGGTGAAAGCTTACGTCAATAGCTGACTTGACTTCGGCCATAATTAGAGGTGATATTGAGGACTTAGAAGGCAGTCTACCTAAATAATAACTACCAAGTTCTCTGGTTATGAGAAGATATCTTAGCTTATTCGCTTGGTGGCAACGGCAAGTCGCCTGGCTGTCTTACGTCTCCAATATATATATAATCACCGTTACGCTAATTATCGTCACGAAATCCACCCCGCATTTCCCATCGCATACGACCATCCCGAAGCTCTCGGGTATCTGATCAGCACGACCTGACTATTCTTCTTAGCTCTTATCCCCGCAACCAATCCGAACGCCCCCCCTCTACCGAATCCGGTCAATAGTGCGGCGGAGTGACTCTAAGCTACCCTACATAGGAGCAATCGTAGACGTCGCCTGCAATGTGATATGATGGTCTTATCATAGGTACTGTATCATAAGAGTACAGAGAACGACTGTTAAAAACATATTGTAATTTAGATTTAAGTTGTAATTAAATATTAAAATGAATCCTTAATATATCATACGTAGAGTGAATGTTAAAAGCAGTAACGAAGCTATTATATAATAATTATATATTATACCTAATTTATATTAACTTTACTTCTTCCTTGAAAATAGATACGTTCAGTAGCTTGTTACCCAGCTATTTTAAATAGAAATACTGCAAGGAAACTTGATTCACATATACGAGCTGTAATAGAAGCACCGCATAATGGACATAAAAAAGCAATGAAAATGTCTCAGTACACATACTGTTTCACGTAATAACACGGCCTCAGCCCCCAACGCTGCTCGTCATTATAAGTTCTGTTTTACCTTGAGTGGCTTGCAGCTACCCTGTAATCATTAGGATCACGGCCAATCAATACCTATTCTATACCGCTTGTGCGACTTTGTAATCGGAACTCCCCCCACCTGGCTGAATCTATTTTTAGCGGTTCTCTTTTTCTCACATACTAAAGCATACTCCAGCGACTCTTTACCTTGTTCCTCGGAATTCTAACGCATATTGTTCAAATGGAGTTTCGTTATAACGCAACGGGCTCGATGGCCTCCTTATCAACTTTGTCATTAGACTCTCTTATTGTAGAAACACCTCCCGAGAAGAGACAGTCGATTTTTAGGAAGATTTTCACAGCCGTCTCGACACAATGGACTCGTACCTACCGAGAAACATGGTCAGATTTACGCTCTATCGGATGGGCACGTGCAGGACTCTGGACCCTTTTTGCCTTGTGGACTATGACGGTGTTGGGTTTCTTTATTTTTATTGCCCTATATAACTCATACGATTTCGAGATTCATAATGGATCAGCATGTAGGACCGACGGTTCATTTATAATTAATTCGTCTGACTATAGCCTATGGAAATCGTCGAGCTTCTTCGATATAAGTTTGGGTTTTGGGAACCTAACTTTTGCCGAGGCAAAAGTTATTGACATATCATGGGATATAGTGAGAATCGCGCTGCCTTATAAATAAAGTATGAGCTAACATGGTTGACTACCTAAGGTAATTGGGCGTGGAGGACAAGCACTTATGGCACTGGTGTCTTGGCGAGTATTTGCCGACTATGTAACCACCTCAATGGAGTTTGCACCTGTGACTTTCACAGTTTTTTCCATCATATTCCTGCAGGATGAGCCATCCTTCTTTTCGACAATAAGCATCGTTCGAGCTTTTATCTCCGGACGGGGTCTTAAATCTAAAATGGCTATGGTTTTCATGGTCCTAACCATGATATTTATCATAGCATGGCCAACGGTTGCTGGCGCAATGACTGGGTATACTACTATCGGCAAAGCGTTTGTCCCAGATATTGATAACAATTACATCCCATACTCGGCTTTCCGACCACTGGCATATATCGTCCATGACGGAGGGAGAGTCAATCTCACTAACAATTATATATATTTTGACTCTGAACGCAGTCATAGTAAGGATTCAAAGTACCTCGAACGCAGTTATGTTAGCTGACAACATACTCAGAGGAACCAGTTGCTTCTTATGGCAACTTTTTCGAGATTTGCGGCTTCTCTGATAATTACATAGAAACTGACTGTTGGTTGCAGTCTAATGTATCTACCTGTTCGTATACCTAGACTTCCATGTCAGTGCCAAACTTCAACCAACGCATTAATCATAGAATGTATCTTCGTACGGGTTCTATGGCCTAAAAAATATATCATCTCGCTGGATGAATGCGACAATCCCAAGCCCAACGCTGAATATATCAGCCTTTTACATACCTCCATCCGGGTCTTTTTATGGATTTGACTGGTCCGGCGACCCAGGGACGGGACATACGCGAGAATTCACAAATATATCAAATACAGCCTTCCTCTATTCTAACAACACATATAGTCTTGACTACGTTGCCGCTAATGGTAGATGTCAGCCTGTACAAGATGTAGGTGTCTATTCCACATGTAGTATAGAATATACCACTTATTAACATCCGTCATTTCTAGCGGTTTAAATGGGGATTTTCATGTATACAATTATTTCTGGTACTGGCATTTTTGTCCATTGGAACTATTGGAACTTACATGCTGTGGCTTAAGGCTCGATTCCAATTACCTCTCCAAGGAGAAATAGAGACATATAGAGGCTGGAGGGCAGTATTGATAATGGCTGAAAAGATGGGCAAAGAATTGAAAGAAGCCGGTATTGATGCTCGCTCTTTAACAGACCAACAGCTCAAGGTTGCAATTAGAAAACAGCTCCATGGCGGTTCAATCTCGTTTGACGCTCCACTTACCAGAAGTGGATATAGCTTCCGCCATGGCACGTGGCAGTGGATGAAGAGAGAAAGAAAGCGGGTTCTTATATTGCTTTTAGCTGGAATACTTACAGGAGGTGGTATGTGTAGCGGTTTATGGTTGTCAGCCTTCGGATACTCATTCACATTTCCTTTCTTCCTTTTCTTCTTTTGCGGGGTTTGCTTTGCAATGATAGTAGGAAGCACAAAAAGGAGCAGGCTCCTTATGGTGCTCTCTTGGACAACATGTGGACTTATCATTGGCCTGGCTACATTTCTGAGCGAGTATGTCCCCCACTCCCAAATAATGAAGTATTATATGGAACATTCTACTACTCCCGAGGAAATTGCTAGGGTATAAGTGGATTAGGGGTAGCTACAAGGGTCTATTTATTAAAGGGCGCGCAGCGCCTTTGTAAAAGAATAGAAGGTATTTACTATCTGATTTACTTACCTGATATTTATTTTGTGTGTGATTATTATTAAAGGGTATATCTAACAGAAATACTCTGTACTAAACACCTCCCTATTCCATCTGAGCCAGCCTCTGGATGGCCTAGATATTGATTACGTCGCTCTAGTATGGTGACAAGTTCCCGAACCCGACTTCTGCGGCCTCGGAAAAGACGGGGAAAGCTTCGGGCTCTTGTGATGCTGACAGCTTGAATCTAAGAACCACTGTTGCTATATAAAGGAGGCTCTTGTGCCTCCATGGAAGAACCAAGTCTTTTCTTTCTTTTCTTTTTGCTAGCTTATATACAAAAATCTATATACCTACATAAATACCATTGTGCTTAAGAATACCTAGTTGCTAAGGCCATCAACTAGTAAGACATGCTTCTTCTTAATACGATAGTATTATAACCATTTATTTCTAATTCTTGGGTTTGATTTGATAAATATCTGCAGTGCACAAGATATGCTTACATAGATTATATTATTCTACATATTTTCGCACTCTAATCACTGCTTAATTAGCCGCAATTGCCTTTGGAGCGGAAAGTGCCAGTATCTTCTTCGCCGCATGTTCGGCGGCAGCAACGATCATTGCTGAAGGGTTTCCCGTCATCATTCCCGGGAAGATGGATGCATCGACAACGAAGAGGTTGTCCATGCCATAGACCTTAGTGTTTGTGTCGACGACGGATGTGCCATCGTCAAGTCCCATCTTAGCCGTACCAACCCAGTGGTTCGAGCATCGCACCGCCGGTGTTGCAGGGATCTTTATGTTAACATCATTAGCCCCTGATTCTTTTACGTCGTTTTCTCTTGTGTGAAAGTATATAAATTATAAAGGGGCAAAGGCAATCCCAACTCACCGAGTCAACAAACTGTGTTGATGTCTGATTTGAAGCTGGCCGAACCCAAGTCAAGTTCGAGATGGGTCCGAAATACTTGCGCACTCTCTCAAGTCCTTCAATAACAGCTGCCTTGTCGTTGGCATCTCGGAGATAAGGGGGGACGGACACGCGAGTATTGAGCTGAGGTGTGATCACCATGCGGCCCCTCGACGTTGACCCAGTTCCAAGATATTGGGTGATCGTCATGGAAGCTAAATTGAAAGGTTAGCACTGATATATGAAAGACGCCGGGATAGTAGGCTCACTGTTCTTGGAACCCTCGACTCGCGCTTGCCAGTGCAGGTGACGATCTATTCCATCCTCGCCGGGAATGATCTCCCAGAACTGCGCATATGTCAATATCATCATCCCTAAACCCTTTTTGAGTTACATACGATAGGACCTAGGTTAGGCGCTGCTTGAGCGAGAATACCGGTGCGGTTCTCTGTGATAAAGTCAGTACCAGATTCATTACTGTGGCCTGGATATCTTACGCAAGTATATTTCCGTATCATTTAAGATGGGCTTGCTGTATGCCGCATAGAAATCGTAGAAGACGACGTCAGGGTGAGCAATCTCGATGTCGGTCTAATATACCGTAAGTTCAGACAATGGTTATAAATAGCATTGCCTTGAATGATCTCGGTACTCACGCCAACATGGTCGATTAGATTGTACCCCACAGGGAGATCAATCCAAGAGTCTTCAGATATCATAGTCTTCGCATCCGACGTCGAATTCTTCACGATATTTAATTGGTCCTTTGGCCCAATGCCGCCTATTTTAACTTGTTAGAGGACCAGCAAGGACCTAGGGTTATAATAGACAGATAAAAAGCCATACTTCTGAAAAGGAGTTTTGCCGAGCCAAAGGAGCCAGCAGACAAGATGACACGGCCCGTTCCAGGGGTAACTGAGACTACACCAGCGTGTCCGGCAGCATTTTTACTGCACTCGATTTCAACGCCCGTCGCATGACCTCCCTCGCGAATGACCCTCCTTGCGGTAGTGTTCATCCAAAGTGTGAACTCCTTGCGCTGGCTTGCATCGACCAAGTACGTTGCGAGCGGTCCGCCTCGCTCGCCGTTAGAGAACATGTGCGTGCTGTGACCAAAAGTCCGGTTCTTGCGATCGGGATGTTCGTTAGGCACAATGAACTCCCACCCGCTTGCATTTAGTCCTGATGTCAACGCCTCGAATCCCTGCTGCAGGTATAGCTTGCCGTCCGTACTGGGATGCGTCGTTCCCGGAATTCGCTCGAACACCCGCGCTGTCGCGTCGACTACATCAGAGCTTTTCCACCCTTCGGGCCAGCTATAATCCCAGTCGGCTGGGTGAGGTTTCCACCATAGGCCAGAGTTGACAGCCACACCACCACCCAGCACACAACCTGCCATCTGGTCGACATCCGTACATACGACGCCAGTAGGGTTGTGCCAAATTTCGTTGGCCAGCCCAGGCACATCAAAGCGAGTCAGTGTGGAATTATCCAACCATTTGGGTTTTAGGGTACCTCCCCAGATGCCCGTTGACGGCGGACCTTTCTCTAGAAGGAGGACCGTGTGCCCAGCCTCTGACAGCCGGTCAGCAAGCGGAATGCCACCAGCCCCTGAGCCTATGATAATATAGTCCCAGGTCTGACTGGTCGTGACATTAGAGCAAACTGGCGGCGCCAGTGCTACATTAGCCCGTGCTGAGCATGGCTGGAATACTATAAGAGAGTTAGACAGGATCCACGCGTCTATCTATCTATCCTTAGGTGTGCGCTTACAAAGCAAGGCGGCTGTCGCGACGGCGCTTAGGTATAGATTACCATGCATCTCAACTACAAGAGGTCTCGCGTGACTGAGTATACAGAGGAAACTCCGCATCAACCCTCAGAGGCGGACCCAAGCCTTTTTTAAAACGGCATAGAACGTGATATGTCCCGAGCATCGCAGATAGGACATTAGAAGCCATGACCATGCCACCACACAATGTCGACTTGCATGCCCAGGTCTCGCACGCAAAAGCGCCGCTTCAAAGTGCTGTCGTCGGTGCATTGAAGAAACTAGCGCGCTCGAACGGGTCACTGGTTCAAAGTTGTAGGGATCTGCAATCGTTTTTCATTTGGGCGCAATTAGCCGAGTGTAATGTCGCGGAGTGCCCTAGGAACCAGGGTGCCCATACTTAGCCGCGAGCGAAAAACCTGGGGTGATCTGGGGTAAGGTAGGGGCGTGTAGCTGGCCCGGGTTTCTGGTGAGGTCCATTCACGATCCAAAATGGAAGTGCCGATGGAAGGGGAGGGTGGTGATGGCGCACCAGGTCATCACACCCAAGACCAAAAAAAGCAGCCCCCGCGAGGCTACGGACTTACGGTGATGAGCAAGGAGGGGGATTGCAACCAGGCGTCTCAGGATAATTCCGGCCAAGCTATTCGGGAATATGACATTTTTCAGCTTACTGCGGAGATATAGTTGACAATAGGAGTACGAAGTAGGCAAAAAGGAGAGAAGGATCAAAGATCATGACTGTAACATTTCATCCGGATGTTCCAATGACACATCGTAATCCTTGATGAACTACGTTGAAGGAAGTATGATGAGCATCAGGATACGGATAACGGTAGATATTCGCGTGTCTAGCAGGAAATACTACTACCACCTGACATATTCCAGAACAATTCTATCTTGTCATAGCATGGTTAGAAATAGGTAATTCATGAAGACATCGGACCTGAGATTTATCATTATATTACTAGCATTAACGAATGGTTTTCTTTGATACAGAGTGAAAAGTCTCCTCGAGTTTTAGTACCCTAGGCACCCTTTTCTAAACTCACTTGGTACTTAAAACTTCAGCACCATTGAACGAGCGTTTCAAATACTCCAAAAACCTATAGTATCATAGCGCTGGCTCCTGCTGTATCTTTTAGTTTGCGGCCAATGCTCCAGCTCTTATCGCTGCCAACTACTTCTTGTGTCCTACTTGTAGACTTCTGCTTTTCACCAGCGGTACTGCCTCCCTATAATAAACCAGTTAGAGGGAGGCCTGGACATGTTATACCTATAGTAAGGTACTATTGTATAAAACTTACACTTGCCAGCTTATCGAGAGGACCACCAGTAACTGACACTGGTTTGGTCATTTGGGCTTCAGGTTGCTTAAACCAGATTAACGAAGGCATTCTAGAGAATACTGAGACGTTTCCACTTACGATAGCTCCAGGGGCCTCGAATATACCGCTGGCTAGATCAACATTTGGCAAGGCATTCATACTGCCCATGTCAAAGTTCTTACCGGCTTTATTCTGATCTTTCTGCCCTGCAGCAGCCATGTTCGTGTTGCGGAATGGGAAGCTATTCTTAAGGGGTTTGGAAGTGCTTCCGTGTACCAAGTAAGAGTGATGAATCAGACGAAAATCTTTCAATGATTTATTTGCCTTTTGACCCAACAATTTGTCGCCTCATAGTAATACGTCATCTACTGATGAGGCTCCATATATGGCTGGCCGCGACCTAGCCACGAGATACTTGGGGATTTACGTCACAACTACGTGGTAAAGGCTAGGACCCTAAACCCAAACTTTATCACATATTAAGTGGGCAAGAGGTACTTCAAAACTCAGGATCAATAAAATAACTTGTATCCCTATGGAACAGTCCTTTCCTAAGGCTCCGGTGTTGTGGGGTACGGCTTGCCGGACAAGGGTTAAAATCGGAGCCGGAGCCGGAATAGATTCTTCCAACTGATAGCCTGAAAGTTACTATTTGCTCCAGTGATACTAATAACTTGATGCTGGGGTTCATAACATATAAGCGGTATATATGTAGGATCTATAAAGAACAAAAATCATGCTTCAAGTTTATCCAACCAGCAAGTAATAACTACCTACATAGTAGATTAGGGATAACTACCGTTTTCATTATCAATATCTAATCATCTACCCCATTCGTCTAACTTATAGCCTATATTTACCTCTCTACTCCTATATATCTGCATCTGCATTATATATAAATTCTTGTATCAAGTCCCTGATCGCCTCATCGGTCTCACCCCTATGGCCCGGGAATACTGCGGCTGTTTTGGTCTGTACGGCATTTTCAGCTATTCTCAGCATATCTCGCAAGCTCATCCTGTCTGATTCCTCGTATGCTAAGCATCTGGCTAGGAAATCCCGAATATCATCGTCGAGGGTAGGATATTTCGCGCCATTTCCATGGTGTAAGAACTCTGTTGCTCTTGTCTCGAACCCCTGATATTCCGTGATCCAGGCCGATATTCTCACTTGTTGTCTTGCAATTAGGTTAACCATGATCTAGACCGGTATTAGCTTATCAATGGTCTTGGCCGGGACGGGATTGTCGCAAATACCCTCATTACTGCTCGAACGTTATCGGGGACTCCCTTGAATCCTTCTCTGGTTCGTCCGAAGTCGATGAATTTTAGCGGTGGAACTAAGTCGTGCTCCGGGAATCCACCACCAGCGTTTCCTATCATGACTCCATGCCGTCAGTGAAATGAAATGTTCTGGAGAAGGAGTAACAAACTGTTTGCTGTACTCAAGTCAGCATGTTCAATCTTGCTCGGTTGCGTGTCATCTCCAGGGATCGTCTCCAGCTGGTCTTGATCATCTTCGCCGCCATTCGGAGGGTAGGCGAGGGCAACACAAGCTCTTGTCACTAAACTCATTTGGCATATATCAGACAACTATTTCCAATCCCCAAAATATGGTCAGCGTACTGACAGCAGAGAAAAAAGGACCATATTAGTCGGTTGGGTAGTAATTGGTCACGATTGACTAGTCTTTTATACAGCCGTGCTAGATCTCCGTTTTCTAAGTACTCGATGACCACTATTGGACCGGTAAATCCTTCTAAATATTCTTCTAAAGCAGACCGCCTTCTCAATAAACGCTTTCGATTGCGTCTGAAAAAGGTCGTTGGGTGAGGCTCGTCGCGAGATGCTAGTATTCCCACAACATGCTCAGCTCCACGAAGAGTCTACAGTAGATGAATTAGTAGCCATCTCCGATTACCGTTCCATGCCGTATACTAACTTTTAGCCATTCTATTTCATTTCTTAGGTCGTCTTCTCCCCGGGGTTTTAGAGACCGCTTCACTACAAGACGTCGAGTCCTATTATGTGAGAGCTTTTCGACGAGACGGAAGGTGAGGCCGAAGGCACCGCGACCGAGTAGCCCTTCAAATGTAAATTTATGATGTTGCACAGCAAAATGTGACCTTAATTCGGCTTCGATATCAGCGGTAGACTTGTTGCCATAGGCAGCAGGCGCAGAGTGAGATCGACTCATTGGGGGTCTTTCTATTAAATTAAACCCATGGATTAACTGCCTAGAAAGAACTTACCTATAGATAACCCTAGTAAATCATGGATAGTAGACATGTAAGTGTAATAAAGCGTCTATTAATTATATAATAAAGAAAGATACCCAAGTAGTCTGATTGCGGAATATGTAGGCACATGGACATATTCCGCCCGATTCAACTTTGAGAAGAAAGAGGTAGTTAACTAAGAGATATAAACTAACCAGTCTTATAAGTTATAATGCTGTTAGTTACTAAAGTATGTATTGTACATTCTTTCTAATTCGGGTAGTTATGTTAATCCTCTAAAGTCATAAGGTAATGTATATGTAACTAGTATAAATTTATAAATTAAGCAATTCATCTTTATTTGTCATATGCTGTAATAGTTTGTTTGTATTTGCTTTAGACTTTCACTTTATCTTCAACGCTGTATCCCGTCTTCCGTCTTCCGTCTTTAGGGGCTAAGACGCAAAAAGCTAAGCGGTGCAAAATGATTGGCCAAAAAAAGCTCCGACGGCAGGTGCCGAACCACTCAAACTCGGCTCCTCCAAAATTTCAACTCTTCAAAAGCTTCAAGAAGCTCTGCGCAAGACTCCTGCATAACGCCCACTCGATTAGGCCTAACTACCAATTGGCCTGGAGCCTCTTCCCCTCAAGATGGCACACGCGCGCCTTATCCGACCGCCGACCTGTCTCGACTGCCTGCGCCGTCTCGTCCACCCCGCCCCGGCATCGCCCCCCTCGTTTCTATCTCTGCAGACTCGAGGCGCTAGGTCGTCGACGAAGGCCGAGGAGGAAGACTTGCAGGGTATTCCCGTGCGTCTGCTACAGGACATCCAAGGGTTCGGTCGGAGGGGTAAGTTTTCCCTTATGATCTTACATTCGTCTTGCAGAATATTGTATGGCTTATAAGGAAATGTAACAGATGCCATCATCCGAGTCAAACCCGGCCGCATGCGCAACTACTGGTTCCCCAAGGCGCAGGCCGAGTACATGACGCACCAGCGCTTCAAAGAGCTCGGTCTTACTGAGGCTGCCATTGGTGTGCGCGACCGATCCTTCGGCACCAAGCTCCTAGTCGAATCTGAAGGTGTGCTCGCTGAGGAGAGGCCCAAAGAGACCTGGAAGAGCAAGAAGGATACCTTGACGCTACCGGTAAGTTTGGCTTAATTCTTCTACAAATAATCCTGCATCGTGACCTTTGCTGACATATAAATATAGCCCGAGGAAACCCTCACCCTCCTCGAAACCGTCCTCCCTCCCATCTTAACCTTCGCCCGCAAGCCCATCCCTACCGTTTCCGCGCCTCTATCCAGCGAACACAAACCGACCCCCACTCCTCGATCACCACTCCTCGCCCCCAACGCCGCAACATCTATAGGCCCCGTTGCCGAAGACTCGACCCCACCCTCGGCAGACGAGGCAGCGTCGGTAGGCATCTTCGGTTCCGTGTCCGTAAGCGACATCGTAGCCTTGATACGAGAAAAGCTATTAGAAGCAGACCCAGCGCAGGGCGGGCGCGTGGCACTCGAGGCCGACGGCGTGCAGATCCAGGGTCTGGAGGGCGAAGACCGCATCAAACACCTCGGCACCTTTGAGGTTCTGATCTTCGCCGGAAAAGACCTGGAGCCTTTGGTGCGGCAGGTTGAAGTCGTGCCAGAGGAGTAAATACCGACGATATGTCAATTGTTGTGACATTACCGTGGGATAACCAGCTTCGACATGTCTATGTAGACCGAGGAAAGTCGAAAGTCGGCGAAAGCGGAGTATCTACTACGTGGTAGCGAATTAGCACGGCACTCCTATACGCATGAATTTACATAGCACGTGTATGATATACCAATCAGCTAGGGTAGCTGAGCTAACACTACATATGCACGTACGTCAACAGATTTGGAGTCGTGTATCAATATATACAGTGCCCATCTTGAAGCCTTTTAAAAGTTTGATCTTTCGTATATCGGCCTAGGATGGTTAACTAGCTCTCCAAACCGACACACGTATTTTTCTAAGGTTGAATTGTTACTACAAGAAAAGGCAGCAGGGAGGACGTAGATGAAGGCAATGGCCGATAGGTAAGTAATTAGGTCATGGATTGGGTATTATTTTCCATTACTTCGCTCTCTAATACGACAACTTAGTACTACCTCCCCAAAAGTAAAAAATAATAACCAAGTGTTCAAGCATCTATTATGAGACAAGAAACCAGAAAAAAAACCCCCGAAGACAAGTAAACCCTTGTACGCCAGCGCTGTGCCCAATAAAAATACGATACGGGAATATTAGCCTGTACTATGCCATTCATCCTGCATATCAACGCTGGTCTTCCTTCCGATTAATCAGCTACAAACTTGTGCTTAGGTATGGAAGGGGTAGATGTGATGATGTATGGCTATGGACGAGAGGGTTGACCAAACCTAATCATCTGCCGGGATAACTAACGTCTAGGTTCCACAGTGAATCCCATACAATACTCCTTCGAACGGGGCTTGGGCTTTCGATAGAAGTAGCGCTTATTTCCTTGCGGAGTTGGGAATGCTGGGGTCGTTGTTGTTGTTGTTGCTGTTGTTGTGATTGTGTCCGAGGCTGACCCGACGGCCTCTGCTGCTGAGGCTGCTGCGTATTGGGGTTGTCGTCTATTCGGCGACGCTAGATCCCATCAGCGACTACGTCTCAAGGATCGAGGGTGGTATTAATCATCACGTCGCACCTCGGTTTGCTCGCCCTTATCTGCGGCGGTCTGTTTGTCCCCTGTTAATTCTTGCTGCGTTCCACTTAGCCCTGCGCCCCCTGGCCCAACTGTTGGACTTGTGATGCTATTTGTCTCGCTAGCTAGCGCACTGCCTTTTGCAGCGACAACTCCAGCAAGAGGCTGGGCCTTCTTAGAGCCTGAACTGCTACGCCTACTCTCGAGACTCTTGCTGAGGGTCCTACTAACACCCTCAATTCCACCGTTAGGGCCTAGTTTGGATTTTCCCTTGCTCAAACGTCCATGTGCGTGCATATCGGCGACAGCTGCAACATTGTTTGCAGCGACGGTGGACTTTCCAAGCCCAGGGGTAGATGGGGCGCCGGGTTTGTCTTCGTGTGCATCGATAAGCCACCAGCGTAGACCATCTGACAAATCAAATGGATTGTCATTTTCGTCGCCAGTATTAACAGAATCAGTTTCACCCTCTGATGGAAGAGCAGTGGTAGATTGCAAGCTCTTAGATAAGTCGACTACTCGCTCTTGAACTCGGGTTATGCGGGCTACAAGCCACTCGCGGCTGCGCAAGCGGTGACTTTCCTGCTCCCGCAAGAAAAAATGAGGACATCCAACATTGAAAGCAGCCCAGGCACCTGTCGTCTGATTACGGGTGGGAAGAAACAAGGCTAGGTCGCCTTCTTTGAATTGCCTGAAGGCAATCTTGTCACGAGCTTCCTTAGCAGCATCGTGTGCCCGTTCTCTGTAATTACGGGCGTCTCGAGTCATCTTTCGGGCAGTATGCTCCACTTCCTTGACGCGACGATACATGGCTTCAGAAAAGGCGTCAATGTCAAAGTTGCCTGGACCGGCCATGAAAGCCTGGTACTGCTCATCTTCTGTATTCGAGTCCTCCGCGTTCATCCAGTATAGTAACTTGAGATCAGCGCTATCAGCAAGGGGGTTACTTGTTAACGAGACGGATCGCCGTATAGAAGAGCCGGGATCAGACGAGTCGTTAGGGTTTTGAGATGTCCGTTCAGACCGCGGAATTCTTTGGATGGCCATCGACCCATCCTTGCGTGTCACGGAGAACCCAAGGCGTTCGAGAAGCCTGCATAGCCTCTCATTCTGGGTATATAACCTCTGGGTGAGGTCTTTAGTGCGACCATTGCGTACCTCAGATCGACTATTAAGGGCTTCTAATGTAGCATCGGACGCCTGTAGCTTCTCCTGGAACATTCGGACTTCCTCTTCAAGGCTACCTAATTGGGACTGTTTTGATGCTACTTGTTCGGTTAGCTCCGCAACTCTCTTTTCTTCGTCTGCTAATTTCTGCCGTAGCGTTTCTGATCCTGTTTCGCCCTCAGTCATCTTCATTCGGAGTTGGTTGAGTTGCGCTCGTCCTTCGTTCACTTCCATTTCCAGAGTGGCGGTTCTAGTCTTTTCTTTATCTAGTGCCTCCCGCAGGTGCACCGAGCTCATCTCTTCACTGGAAAGCTTCTCTTTCGCAGTATGTAGTTCGGATTTTACATCTTTAACAGTGGCCTGAGCACGCTCTAGATCAGCCTTCGTTAGAGATATGTCTTGTTCGAGGGATTTCAATCTTGCCAAAACGTCGTTGGATTTGGTCGCGACGGAATCTGTAAGATCTGCGAAGTCTTGAGGAGGGTCGTCCGTTGGAGATAACTGGCCGTGAAGCTCCCTGAGCGAACGAGCATGCGTGTCCATACTGTCGAAGAAAGTTTCAGCTCGCTTATTTAGCTCTTTGACTTTTTCACGCGATTCCTTCAACTCCCTCTCAAGAGACACATTGCGTTCTCTCTGAACTCGAGCTTCGTTACGTAAAAACTCGACTTGTCCCTGTGTCCTTAGAGCATCATCCCTCTTCTCTTTAGTAAGACGGTCGACCTCTGCTTCGAGAGAGTGGAGTTTTTCATCGTACGTCAACTTCTCATTTTCTCTAGATTCTCCGAAATGTTCGATTTCATCTTCGGTCTCTTCGAGGCGGGCCTTCAGAGCTTTGATTTCGTCTTCCAAGGATTTACGCTCTTCCATAAATTCCCTCTCTAGGGCTTCCATATTTCCTAAAAGATCTTGCTTCGTGGAGTTCACTTCGTCCATGCGGCCTTTCAGGTCGGCGTGAGCATTCGCTTCTTTCTCCAAAATTGCAGACCGTTCCCTCTGAGCACTTAGATCTCCTTCTAACTGCGCAATACGATGGTATAGAGCCTCATTTCCCTCCGAGGCGATCGATCGTCGTCGATCATCGGGCATGCGGGGTGATTTAACGGAGCCGGTGGAGTCGTTTTGTTGAGGTTGAAAGATATTACCTAAAGGGGACGGTCTTGATACCTGAGTTTGACGATGCAAGAGATCTTCTAGCCGACGGACTCGACTCTCAGCTGTCCTCAACTTATTCTCTAGTTTGGACTTATCTCCTTGTAAGCTTCTAAGAAGATCGTCATCTCCGCGAATGAGCAAACCGCTTCTCCCAAGCGCTGCTTCATGTACACTACCATTCTTGAAAGCTTTCAGCCGTTTCGACTGTTGCTTTGTTGGATTGCTAAGGTCGTTTATTAGCTTAGTGATGTCGCCCAAAACTCCTGCATCCGCATTATATCGCCTTAATACGGTCAAGAACTCATCAAGCTCTTGCTTCGTCATCTGGGGCCAAGATTCATCGTCGCCATGAAGGTTGACCTCGAAGCCAAGTACGCTGCTCTCGGTCTTCTCTGGGCCATAGGTACTACCGACCATTTTATGCCACTTCCGGCGTCTCTTCAATTCTTCGTCTTGGAATATAGCCATCTCGTTGAGCAGCGTCGAAGAATCGGCTTTTACCTTCTCCGACCATTCTCTACGCCGTATAGCCTCGGCGACAAAAGACGCATACATATAAGGGAGCTGTTGAATAAGTCGCAGATAGTCGAAGGTAGTCATTTCCTCCTCTCCTTGGTTTATTGCGTGCATCTGAGTCTTGACACTATGGTGTACGCTGGTTATCTCAGCAATCCTACGCATAAAGGTGAGAGAATCAGCAGCAATGCCGTTTCGCGCTTGGGTGACATAACGGAGCATGTCATCCATCTCAGAAGCTCTGGTTTGAATACTCGGTAAGAGCTGTTTCGTGTGATTAACAGCTGTTTTTGAAGCCTGCGGAATATCCTTTGCTTGATTGGTATAAGACAGGGTGGTCTGGTAATCTGTATCGACCTTTCTTGCGACAGCCTCGATATCTTCTAGCAACTGGATACTGTCGCGTTTATGCCCCATCACAGACCGATCCAATAATTTATTGAACTCCTGTATCAACTCTTCGCAGCCTCCAAACATCATCTCGACTGTCTTGTCTAGCTCGGATATTTTATTATTGAACTTTCGAAGCGACGTGGCGGCGAGTTTCCCAGCTTTACGCGTAGGCTCGGGGTCAATGAGATCCTCTAGTGTTGCTTGACGAGGCTTTCGAATGTCCTGGCCTGTCATAAAATGCACCATCGTTGGGGAAATAGCAATGCTCCGTGCTAGCTCAAGGTATTGTTCCCAATTGGAAACCAGATTGGCATATTCGTCTTGAATGGGTGTTGCCCATTTCTTGAGTTCCGAGTGCTTTGGATCTATTAACTTGACACTGTTGTCGAGATTTGCTACAGCGGCATCGAGACATTTTAGCATGACATCTATTTCATTATACCGCACCTGAGCCTCATCGGCCATGATGGTGCAGTCTTCTACGACTTTTAAAGTCCAGTCGCGACGTCTCTTGAATAGATCCTGCCATGATTGTAGCGAGTGCGTGTTCTCGATCGAGTTCGGGGGAGTAGATACGGTATATCGTTTCGGTATGGGGGACTCGGAGATAAGAGCGCTGGCAGCGCCAGGCGAAGAAGCTTGAGTTATTCGAATATCATAAACGTATACCTCCTTCTAATGAATATATTAATCTCAAGTTTATACATGGGGTCTAACTGAGGGATGTTAAGGTAGACAAACCTCAGACTGTATGTTCTGGATCTTGACAGTCTTTCCTTGCGATGTAAGAGCAACAATATTCTGAATGGGTATGGAGCTTTGCCGGGCAACCCACGCCTTGAAATCATCTAAACTATAACAAGAGAGAATAAAGCCGTTAGTACAAGTACTCATGCAGCCTATAAAAAATGCGGTAGGCCGCATACTCAAGTTAGTGTAAGAAATGGAATACGTACGATGAGAACTGAGCGGTATCGACCGGCAGGCGCTGGCCCGTGTGGGCAATCAACACCTGCGTCTGCGTCGCCATGATTTATACAGTCCATCCCCTGAAAGAATGAAGTAAGTGATGCGACAACAGATATGACGTTCCAGATATGTAAAGCCCTAAGGTGGGAAGCTCAAGCGTTGACAAGCCGCTGGATGAATAATGAAGATGGCAAGTGAAGCTTTATCTTTCTGTATCGGAGCTCAACGTCAGCTGGCAGGCAGTCAGGCGCCGTTCGTACATAAGGCTCCTTCCGATTTCTCTGTAATTCGTCACCGATGATCCACAAATTTTGCTGGAGACGGACTAAACCTAGACCTCTAGAACCTCTAGAAACTCCTGGTGCTTAAGTACATAAATGATCTACTTCGGATCCGATACACGAATCACATGTAACCAGGTGCCACGAACACCTAACCTAACGATATAGGTACGTGTAAATCCCGTTCGTGTAATAAAGTGCATCAAGCTTCCATATTAGAAAGTCTTACAAGTAGAAGTTGAAGCCTAATGATTTGAATGTAATTTATGTACGGATTATATTATATACATAGGTAGGCATAACTTTAGTTTGCGCCAAATGCGTTACACTATAGCTTTAACTTGAAGTTTGTTATTTAGCGTGCTAATGTGACAACAAACGGGGGATCTAAACGCGAACAATCAAGCCACGTTCGACCTTGAAGTACAGCCACATCTATTGAAAGTGGTAAGCCTAATACTTCCACTTACTTCCATTGTATGGAACTTATCTTGTAAAAGAAGCGATAGCGAAGCGAAAGTGTGTTTCATAATAAAATAAAGATCATCTCACACGCTTGTGTTTCAAACAGACGGCTTTTACATCGTAAATGCCCATTTGCAAAAGGACATGGCAGGTGGAACGATTCACGAACCAACGCCACTCCTCCTTTCAGATGACGAAAAACGTATTCTAAGTTTACATGATCGCCTTCAACAGCTTCAATTAGAGATTGCCTTACTCACAGCCCAAAAAAGTTATGACCCACGTAAGTTTCTATTATCAACCATTTAAGTATACATCGAATCTAATCAAACCTAGGTATAAGTCCGCCTACAGGAGATGGGGGCATAGAAGCAGCCCAGAAAGCGCTTCTGGATTCAAGATCCAAATATGTCCTCCGGAATCAAGTAGTAGACAGCGTTGTGGCTGCCAATCCAATCCTGCAAGCGGTGCACAACGGTACAGAAGCATCTCCTATAGAAAGGTAAGGCTTACAACATTTACCCCTATACCATTATTTCTAACCCTAGTCCGTAATTCTATAGGGACTTACTACCCATTCTAGAACAGCGCGACCAGTCATCTTCAGCATTAGCACAGCAGTCCTCAGAGTTACGCACGCTGCTTGACGGAATCACGGAGGTGGAGAGTCAGAGTCTACGCCTCGGTCGCGAGAACGTAGAGCTGGCGTCGAAGTTGCTCGAACTTGCTGAGCAGACGAATCAGAAAAAGGCAGAGGCGGTTAACCTGGATCCGGAGCGGGTAGCTGAGATCTCGAACCTAGAGGGCCAGGTTAAGCTAAGTAGACAAAGATGGCGGGTCCTGAAAGGCACTGCAAGCGCAGTGGTTGCCGGTAGTGGAGTTGATTGGTCTAGAGATTCTGAGCTGAGGGATATTGTCTTGGACCCTGAAAACGAAGACGAAGCGTGATAAAGGAGTTCAAGATTCCATGTATTGACGAGAAGAGCACGTTTGATAATACCCACCTGAGTAATAATCTCACTAATCTGGCAATACTATTATTTACCTTCATATGTGAAAACAGTCTACGGATCCGTACAAGCCCTGGAATAATGCACCTGAACCCTTAAGTCGTCACAATGTTACCTCACAGATAATGATATAGATAACACCCATCCGTTCCTGATAGATAGGGCTTAGCGTAATCAGTCTTGGCCGAAGCAGGCATGAATCACGTGGAATGAATCTATTTTAGGATTTTGTTAAGATGCTATAGAAGACCATTTCCCCGGCCGCAGATCAGCTACCTACCTGTCATTGCATGAACTATACTGCAAGCATGTAGGGACATAAAAAACTTGGAAATATTGTTGGCGAGGCAAGCCGTGATGGATGGATCATTATATCAGACGCGACGTAAACAAATGGCGTGCAGTATCAGCTTCGGCTTCACGTTTACGCGTGTAGACTTATTCAAAAGACTAGAGTTTAGGTAGTTAATTGTATTTTGTCTCTGACGGAATCAATGCTTGTTTTGCCATGGTGTTATGGACTGCGGGGAATCTTGAAGGGAGCAAAAGGTCGTCATCGTTACGCTACTACCTAAAAAACACCATAATCAATATGGAAAATGAAGAACGCGAACACAGTGTATGATGCAAATGAGACCATTCCCGAAGCATCTCTTGGTGTAACCTGCAGCTCTGTGCAATAGGATGTACCTGTTTGAACATGTGGTACCTGGCTGTCTTTCGATGACTTTGGCCTAGCAAGACACCCGATGCCCTAGAATCAAAAATGAGAGACAGTCTTCCTAGCCTGTCGTTAGTAAAGCGGCCTGTTTGAACGGATCAGGACAAGACATGGCCAATATTCTCAAGTGTCAGACGTATGTACACATGAAAACAAATACCACAATATGAATTGTTGGTGCTTGGGTATATTATGCAGAAATCTGACGAATAAAACATATCGCGGCCTAATAGAATTTTTACTCGAGGATTCGCATCGCGTTCCTCGTTGTCCCTAACCAATATAACTTATTCGTCCGCTTGTAGACTGTAACGGGTTTACAGTAAGGTGTTGCAAATTCTTGCTCATAATGCGACTCGATAATATGGTGATACAATTCCAAATCGGTGCGACAGGATTGCATTGCTTATATTGCTACAATAGGGGGGCTTATTCCTTGAAGGATGTGCAAGCTTGAGCAGGCTGGCTTACGGGACTCTGCGGGATGAAGTTACGCCAGTACAACAACTAGGATAACCGCACTGCAAGCTCTCAAAGATCATTGGTTCATAAAATAGCTGCGTTGATATTTGCCTGTGTAAACGTATTGGGTTGGAACAGCCCCTTGGTAATATCCCCTAAGAATATCGTGCGTGTATGGATGGTTTACGCGATTCATATCCGTCCAGTGGTCAGAGACGCCATACAAAAATATCCAATAATCATCGGGCTATGATATCGTAAAGAGGGTAAAGTGATAGGATAGGACAAGGGCTGTTGGAATCTAGAATTTCTTAGCACTTTGGAAATGGAGCGG